GGAGAGCAGTGGGAAAGGGGAACTAGAAGGTGCGGAAGGAAAAGGCCACCCGAGGGGTGGGAAGGGCTCATATGCCAGGCGGTGGTTGGGATCCAGCCTAGAGATGGAGGTGTCCTCTGGGTCGCCTGCTCTGGCCTGCTCTGCTCAGCACATCTCTTGGGATCAGGACAGCGAAGGTCCAATGGTGAGACCCCCAGGCGGGCCGGGGGCAGAGCAGCCCGTCCTCCCATGACTTTGGCCACACCTTAGGCCTCATTTTCAGCCCACCAATTTGGGCCCATTGAGTTCTGGTCCCGTGCTGCCCTCGTTTCCCAGGCCTGGTTTTAACAGTCTGGGCATTACGTCAGGAGGCCTTTGGCTTTCGACTGACGGTGGCACCAGGGGGAGGGATAGCTCAGTGGTTTGAGCATTGCCCTGCTAAACCCAGGGTTGTGAGTTCAATCCTTGAGGGGGCCAATTAGGGATCTGGGCCAAAAATTGGGGTTTGGTCCTGCTTTGAGCAGGGGTTTGGACTAGGTATGTCCTGAGGTCCCTTCTAGGATTCCAGGCAGCAGCAATGCAAGCAGGGCCTCACCCTGCCCAGCGTTCCAAGCAGGTGTGTGGGGCAGCAGTTCCTCCGGCCGTGGTGGCAAATCGGCAGCAGCTTCTTCTTTCTGCCGTCTTCCTGTCTGCTGGCTGTGGTGCTGCCATGTCCCCTTTGCGGCACCTGCTCTGGAGCGCCCAGGGTCTCCTGACCCCTACGGGGCCCAGGCTGAGCCACTGGGAGGGCAGGCGCTGGGCCTGATCCTGCAGGCGTGTTCCCCTCTGCATTCCCCTGCAGCCCAGGGCCTGGCCTGTGCCCAGGGACTGCCCCCGGTGGGCTCAGCCATAAGAAAGAAAAACTCGTGAGCATCACTAGACCCGGAAACCCACAGACCCATCTCGATGTATCCCCTTCTCCCAGGAGGCGCCATGTACCTGGGCACGAGCCCGCTCAGCCATCCCCTCCATTGCCCAGCGGCCCCGGCTCACCAGAGGCCCAGCAGCCAACGCCAGCTATGGGGAGAGCGGGGAATGAGCCAACCTACAGCCAGCGGGGACCCAGCCCCCAACCTGGACAGGCCTGGCCCTTTCCTGTCACCCCCTTTTCCCAGTTCCTGACCCCCAAATTCCTTGTTCCCTGGCAAGTCTGACTGGAGGCCCCCTCTTTGCTGTGGGGAGGTAAATCGATTTCCTCCTACACACCTGCTTGGTAGGAAGGGGGCAGAGTGGGTGGGGCACTGGAGGGGGAGCCAGGACTCCTGGGTTCTCTCCCTGGCTCTGGGAGGGGAGTGGGGTCTAGTGGTTAGAGCAGGGGGGACCTGGGAACCAGGACTCCTGGGTTGTGTCCCCAGCTCTGCACTGCCCTGCTGTGTGACCGTGGCCTGTTTACTGTCTCTGGTTCCTGTCCCCACGCATGTCTATTTAGACTGTCTCTCATTGTATCTGTGCAGCGCCTGGCACGACGGGGCCCGGATCTTGGTTGCGGCCTTTCAGTGCTACCATCCTAGTGATATAATAAATAACTCTAATAATTTCCAGGGGGGTTCAGCCCTGTGACCTCAAGTCCACAGCACAAGCCTCTCCGGATTGTGCTAAAGCAGCAGCTCTGTTAGCAAGTGGCAGTAGTGGGCTGTTATCCTGTATGCAGAGCAGCCACTAGAGGGGAAATCTCTGTCCGTCCCCCCAACAGCTGAGTAGCGGAGTCAAATCTGCAGTGCCTTGATCCTCACACACACACCCCCGTGAGAGGCAGGGCATCACACACAGGTGGAAACTGAGGCACAGAGTCACCCAGGAATGCCATGGCAGAGCAGGGACTTGCCACCGGTCTCCCAAGTGCTAAGCTAGAGCCCCAACCACAGGCCCATCCTTCCTCTGTCCGCACAGCACTTTACACCCAATGTACACAAGGGCCTTGCGGGGGACAGGTTCATGGGGCTGTGAACTTCTTTCCCCCAGGATCCTCTGCTGGGCCGGGACTCCCACGGGCTCCCGGCTCTGGCAGCTCCCCTTGGCACCAGCTCTTACAACCAGTTTGTGCTGGAACAGCACTGCTGTCAAAGGCATCCCGCCGTGGAGGAAATACCGCAGGGCCCCAGGAATGCCGCCCTGCAGCCGGCGGGGAGGGGCCAGTGGGAGAGGCAGAGACTCTCCTTGTTTGCCTTCCCCTGCCCCGAGAAGATCTCTACTTCCAGGCTGCCTCGGGCAGGCTAGCTAGCTGCCACTTTGCATACCCGTGGCATACAGGAGCCATCCCCACTGGGCTGCTAGCCAAACAGACCCAGAGAAAGGAAGAAGAAAAGGAGGACTTGGGGCACCTCAGAGACTAATCAATTTATTTGAGCAGAAGCTTTCGTGAGCTACAGCTCACTTCATCGGATGCATACTGTGGAAAACACAGAAGACGTTTTTATACACACAAACCATGAAAAAATGGGTGTTTACCACTACAAAAGGTTTTCTCTCCCCCCACCCCACTCTCCTGCTGGTAATAGCGTCTCTAAAGTGATCACTCTCCTTACAATGTGTATGATAATCAAGGTGGGCCATTTCCAGCACAAATCCAGGGTTTAACAAGAATGTCTGAGGAAGGAGGGCGGGGGGGGGGGTGATAGGAAAAAACAAGGGGAAATAGGTTACCTTGCATAATGACTTAGCCACTCCCAGTCTCTATTCAAGCCTAAGTTCATTGTATCCAATTTGCAAATGAATTCCAATTCAGCAGTCTCTCGCTGGAGTCTGGATTTGAAGTTTTTCTGTTGTAATATCGCAACTTTCATGTCTGTAATCATGTGAACAGAGAGATTGAAGTGTTCTCCGACTGGTTTATGAATGTTATAATTCTTGACATCTGATTTGTGTCCATTTATTCTTTTACGTAGAGACTGTCCAGTTTGACCGATGTACATGGCAGAGGGGCATTGCTGGCACATGATGGCATAGATCACATTGGTGGATGTGCAGGTGAACGAGCCTCTGATAGTGTGGCTGATGTGATTAGGCCCTGTGATGGTGTCCCCTGAATAGATATGTGGGCAAAGTTGGCAACGGGCTTTGTTGCAAGGATAGGTTCCTGGGTTAGTCGTTCTGTTGTGTGGTATGTGGTTGCTAGTGAGTGTTCGCTTCAGGTTGGGGGGCTGTCTGTAGGCAAGGACTGGCCTGTCTCCCAAGATTTCTGAGAGTGTTCCTGAAGGATGACCCAACACAGCTCACGAAAGCTTATGCTCAAATAAATTGGTCAGTCTCTAAGGTGCCACAAGTACTCCTTTTCTTATTGTAAGGAGAGTGATCACTTTAGATAAGCTATTTCCAGCAGGAGAGTGGGGTGGGGGGAGAGAAAACCTTTTGTAGTGATAATCACCCATTTTTTCATGGTTTGTGTGTATAAAAACGTCTTCTGTGTTTTCCACAGTATGCATCCGATGAAGTGAGCTGTAGCTCACGAAAGCTTCTGCTCAAATAAATTGGTTAGTCTCTAAGGTGCCACAAGTCCTCCTTTTCTTTTTGCAAATACAGACTAACACGGCTGTTACTCAGAGAAGGGAAGGGACTTACCCCTGCTCACCTAGTTAGTGAACAGCAGAGCTAGGGAGAGAACCCAGGAGTCCAGGCTCCCAGCCCCTCCTGCTCTAACCGTTTGACCCCACTCCCCTCCCAGAGCTGGGAGAGAACCCAGGAGTCCTGGCTCCCAGTCTCTCCTGCTCTAACCGCTAGACCCCACTCCCCTCCCAGAGCTGGGAGAAAACCAAGACATCCTGGATCCCACCTCCCAACTTCTCCCCACTGCCTTGATCCTGTTGCATTCCCAAGCAACTTTGGGGAGACAGAAGATTAAATACATCAGCCAACAGGCTTCAACTGCAGAGCGGCCCGGCAAGCGCTGGCCACTCCCCACCCCACCCAGCTGTTTACACTTGGCTGAGGTGTCCTGCTGCTAATCTCCACTCCAGGCTCCCTGTGATTGCTCTGGGCACAGGCCCAGAAGCTGCTGGACTCACCAGGCCAAGCGTGGCCCTGCCACTCCCAGATCTCTCGCAATCTGAGAATCAAAGTTCCAGGATGCTGGGCCGGCTGGAGGCAGCGGGTTCGGGGGTGTGTGTGTGTGTGACTCATGGAGCTACCAGAGGAGGGGGGCTGGCTGCAAAGAGCAGCCTGTCCAGGGGCGCATGGGGCCGGCTGGTTTGGTCTCACAATATCCCAGCTTGGTCTCTCCCAGCTCCTGCGTCCCAGAGACCAGGAGCCTCCCCACCCCCGGGGTGTTTTCCAGCCCCTGGCGTGTGCGGAGTATGAGTTGGTGTTGGTCACTGTGGGAGAGACAGGAAACGCTGCTCACCGGCCACCGATGGAGCAGCCCGTGTGCGCAACAGCCAAATGGCAACACCGCACGGCAGTTTATGGCGGGTGTTGGGGGACATAATGGACGGACGGTGTCTCCTGCTGCAGTTGCAAAGGGGCTTTAGGGAAGGAAAACGGAATGAGGCAGGTGTTAGCAGCGTAAGCCAGGTAGAAGGGCCAGAGGGCCTTGTTTCTAATGTCTCACCCACTTAGAATTAAGCTGCCAATTCAGAGGGGAGAGCGCCCCCTACTGAACCCCCACCCCAGTTCCTGCAGCACAGCGCCCCCTAGTGCCAGGCTGGGGCACTGGGGTCAGTACTGACTGCCAGGGGAGAGAGCCCCCTACTGAGCCCCCCGTCCCTGCAGCACAGCGCCCCCTAGTGCCAGGCTGGGGCACTGGGGGCAGCTGACTGAGTGGCATGCACCCTGTCCCCTGCAGCACACGGCGGTCTTCCATCCAGGAGCAGACCCGCCTGGCAGATGGTCACAGCCCCAGGAGGCTGGGCTTGCTCCCTGTGCCTCCTGGCTGCTCTCGCTCTAATGCAGCTGGGGCCTCCCTCTCTCTAGGTCTGCGCTGGAACGAAGCAGAAGAGGCACCGACTCTGCCCCGCTGAGGCTGTCCCGTCCTTGAGATCTCTGCCAGCATGGGGGCTGGCTTCCTGCGCAAGCAGCTCTTGGTCTGTTTCTCCGCCTTCCTCTTCCTGTTGGTTGTCATCATCCGCCAGGACGCCCCTGGGACCCTGCAGCTGGGGTTCCTGGGCGCACTCCGGGGTGAGCCTGTCTCTGCAGAGAAGCGCCAGGGCAGCCCCACCTTCCAGTGGCGAGGCACAGAGGAGGAGAGAGCTGGGGACTCCATGCCTGTGCCCGTGCCCAGCCGCCCGCCAGCGACCACCAGGCACCCGCTGCAGGTCGTCTACCCCTACGGCTACCGCTTCCTCCTGAACGAGCCGGACAAGTGCCGGGAGCGGGCGCCCTTCCTGGTGCTGCTGGTGGCGACGGAGCCCAAGGACATCATGGTGAGGAACGCCATCCGCCAGACCTGGGGCAACGAGAGCGCCGTGCCCGGGGTCTCCATGGTGCGGATCTTCCTGACCGGGGTCCACCCGCGCTACGGCTCCCCGCTGCAGCGGCTGCTGGAGGAGGAGAGCGCCCTGCATCGCGACATCATCCAGCAGGACTTCCTGGACACCTACAACAACCTGACCCTCAAGACGCTGATGGGCATGGAGTGGGTGAGCAGGCACTGCTCCAATGCCAGTTACGTGATGAAGGCCGACAGCGACATCTTCCTCAACGTGGGCTTCCTCGTCCGGCAGCTGCTGCAGCCCCAGCTGCCGCCCAAGAAGGACTTCATGACGGGGCACATCTACAGGAACACGGGGCCGCTGCGGAGCAAGGCGTACAAGTGGTACGTGCCCCGGGAGGTGTACCCCAACGACACCTACCCCCCCTACTGCGGGGGTGCTGGCTACGTGCTCTCTGGAGACCTTGCCAAGAAGGTGTACGGGGCGGCCCAGACCCTCCGGGTCATCAACATGGAGGATGCGTTCCTGGGGATCTGTTTGTACAAGCTGGGCATCAGCGTGACCAACAGCCCCTGGGGCCTCTTCAACGTCTTCTGGCTGGAGTACGAGAAGTGCCGGTTCTCCAGGCTGGTGCTGGTGCATCAGTACGGGCCCACGGACCTGCTGAGGGTCTGGCCGGACTTCCAGGGCGGGAACAAGACCTGCCCCAGCTAGAGGGATGGGGAAGGAGCCGGGACGTGTGCGGGGACACACGGGCAGGGACGCAGGCTTGCGCATGGTGCCTTGCCCAGGCTGACAGCCCAGTGTGTGCGCACACTCGCCGCTGTGTACACCCCCCAGTGTCAACACACACACACACACACTCCAATGCACCCCCCCCCGTGTATATACCCCCAGTGTTCACACACACACATGCACGCACGCTACTGTGTACACCCTCCCCAATGTACACACACCCCACACCAGGGTATACACCCTCATATACACCCCCCCCGCTCTATACCTCACTCAGCAACCGTACATCTGTCACACATACATCACACCGCCATCCACCTTGCTCATGCTCCCTGACCGCCATCCACCCCCACCCCACCCCACCGGCCGAACCTCAGACACTTTGGCCAGAAACTCTGGCACTTGGGCAATTGCTCAGGCCTCTTCGGCTGCATAATCTCAGGGCTCTCAGCTGGACCCCAGCGAATAAGCCCCCCCCCCAGCACTGCACGGGGGGGTGCCTTATCCTGAAATGTCTCTATGCCTTTGCCCAGACAACAAGCAGCGCCCCCCCTTTCCCCGTGGCTACCAGGGGACACAGGGTTCCCATGCCCAGGGCCTGGCTTTATTGCCGGGCTGGTTCAGGCTTTGTATTAAATTATAGATCGCTACATTTGTAATAAACGGGCTGGCTAAGGGCCAGTCGGACTGCGTCCTCCAGCCGCTTCATTTCTCTTCCTTGCCAACTTCCCCTGCTCCTGGCTGGTTCCTTCTGAAAGCGTGGTTAACACGATCCCTGCCCTCCGCTGCTGCTAGAGCTACTAAAGCCTTCGTTGGCGGGGCCTGAACATCCCTGGGTGGGTGAATCCGGCCCTTCCTGTGCTATGGAAAACCCAGAAGGGGCCCGGGGCTCCAGCTGGGATGAGTCAGTGGAGTGCTGGACACCGCAGGCGGCTGACCTAGGGCTTTCGCCAGGGAGGAGCAGCTGCAGCCAACCCCAGGTGGTGTGGAGGTGTAAGGGGCCAACTGCAGCGGGGGGCCTGGAGGAATGGGGGTGGGCGGGGAGGCTCTTTGCTACAAAGCCAGATGCTGCAACAAACAGTCCCTGCAATAGAAAAACAGGGCCTGGCATGCTGCCAGCTGCTAGTAGCCATCCACAATTGCAGGCCTGGGTGTTACACACACGCACACCGGTTGGCTGGTCTGGGCAGAAACGCTCCCATGTTTGACTGGGCAGAGTCCACCCACTGACCAACCTACCGGGCCCCAATGGAGACAGCAAATACTCTGGAGGAGACAAATACCGAGATGTTGTTGCAACTCATGATGAAAATGGCACCTGCAGCCGTTTAATTGGGCTGGAGCCAGAGGTGGGCCCAAGGTACCCGGAGAACCCTGCAGCAATCCCCTTTGTGTCTAGGTAAGAGTCGGGTGTTTAAAAAGGGGGCGTGCGAGCAGGGGCCTGGTGACAATGCAGTACCCGACAGGTGCCAGCGAGCGGCATCTGTTCCGTCCTGGTCCCTGCCCCCCAGCCGGGCGATGCATCCACGTCCCATTGACTAGCAAGCTGCCGACCCCCCTGGTACAGGCCGGGAGTTTCGCTGGGCGTGTGCGGGTGGGACGGAGCCCGGAGTCATTCCAGAACCTCGGGTGCCAACCAGCCGGAAACCTGGGCCAAGGGAGGGGAGCTGCCCTCCTAAGAGTAAAACAAGCCCCCAATTCCTCCTGGGATAAACCCAGCCCAAGTGCCTGAGACTCGCTGACCTGCAGCCAACATCTCAGCCCTGGGCGCCCCTCCCTAGCTGGGCACTGCAGCCTGGCTGCTGCTCCAGTGGGGCAGGTAACCCCTCTGCCCAAAGGCACTGCTCTCAGCTCCCAGCGCCCCCCTTCCCAGTACTCCTCCCCCCGTTTCTCCCTGCTGGCCAAAGCTGTTTGCAGACATTAGATAATTCATCCTCACCACCCCGAGGACAGCATGGGCACCTTCACTTCTCCCCCCACCCCCCAAACATCAAGGCTGGTTAGATCAGAACATCCTGGCACTTCCTCTGTTGCTAGGCAACTCCTCTTCCCTTCTCCCCTGTGCCAGCTGGTTGCCATAGCACCCTCCCCACCCCATCCCCTGTCCCCATGGAGACCAGTGGCATCACCTCGACAATGCTGGGCTGGTAGTGGGTAAGGCACGACCTGCTACCCTCGAATGCACAGGGACAAAGACTGTGTGGTGCATGCTGGGTCCCCCCTACGACTCCCTGCTGCTCGGAACTGGGAGATGGGGCTGAGATAAAGAAAGCAGCTAACGGGAAAATATCTGTATCTGCAAAATCACCCTGACCCTGCTGGAGGGGGCTCCGGCTACAGGCCAGCTCCGGGGACTTCCTCGAGAGGAGCAGATCCTTGCAAGGTAGCCCCTCTGCCACTCTCATTACCATGTGAGCCAGCATTGAGCAGAAAGGTCCAGGCTCCCCTTCGCGTGGGGTAAGGGCAGGGGGCATGGAGGCAGGTGCAAATCGAGCTGGAGGTGGGCTCAGCTCTCAAGCCCGACCCCTGCTTTTCATTCCGGCCTCAATTCAGAGCCTTTGATTTTCAGGTAGATCCTAGATTCAGAGATTTGAAGGCCAGGAGGGACCAGGCTCGATGTAGCCTGACATGCTGCCGAGAGCCACGCCCCGTGATTCCAGCAGCCGCCCCGTCACGTGGTTGAGAAAGCAGCCTCCATTCCCCATTTCAAGTCCCCAAATAATGGAGACCCCCACCCCCTCCCTTGCTAAGCTGACTGAGGCTAATAGCAACCTCTCCCAATCTGGCCCCACGTGCTCCATACCAACGAAGAAGAGGAAAAACTCTAATGAGATGCAAATCTGGTGCTGAGGTCTCGCACACTTCAGCCCCTGGCTTAACTGCATCCCCAGCCAACCATGCCACTGACTCATTACAAACACAGCTCAAATCCATGGTGGAGACAGGTGTCCGCTATCCACCGCAGGCCCTGCTTACAATGCCGTTGTCTCCAAGCACGATGAAAACAGCGGCCGTCGCTGGGTTTAACTTTGCTTTGTTCTAATGTCATGCAGCATCTCAGCTGAGAGTCAGGGTGTCCTAGGAAACAAACTGCCAAGGGCAAAAGTCAACTTGTGGTTGCTGCTGTGTGCCGGCCAAGGGCCAAGTCCATTCAATGGTGGGGCCTGGGGAAGCAAGTGAATGCAGCGCTGCCCCCTCTCCGCACCGTCAGACCATCACTGAAAGGACACTTGTGCACTGTCCACGTACCAACTGCATGATTAATTCTTCACACCAGGGGGAATTGGCGCAGTGACCGATACATAACCTTGAGTGGCCTTTTGGGGCATGAGTAGATTTGCAAATATGCAAAACCACACGGCAGGAGACTGCTATGCTGAATGAATATCTAATGAGGGTAGCTGGCCCACCAGGCAGCCCCTCCAGGGCACGTCCGAGAGCTCTGATTTTAGTGGAGTAAGTGTAAAAGCAGCAGTTTCAAAAAAGTACCCTGGTCAGATAGTTTTTACTTTGTGTCACTGCTAAAACCAGGCTTCAGTCCCAGGTTTGTTAATAATTCTTTGCATTTCTAGGCTGGCATTTCTGCCAAAGGACACCCAGAAACAGCATCCAGGGTGGGATGCAGCAACTCACTGAGAACTGCGTGGCCGTTTAGAAGAGAGGGAGAATCCTGTGACAACCATGGATTGGAGACTGAGGACTCAGAACCTGGACTCTAGTCTCAGCTCAGCCCCTGGCCTGCTGGGTGACCTCAGGCAAACCATGTTCCCTCTCTGTGCCTCAGTTTCCCCATCCGTACAATGGGGATGCTGATACTGACCTCCTTTCCCAAGTGCTTTGAGATCTACTGATAAGAGCTAGGTGGTGCTAACTGAAACCGTCAGGAGGTGTTTAAGTAGGTAGACTGCCATCTGCCATGCCAGAACCCAGCGGGAACACCAGGGTTATCGCCCCAAGCCTTGGGAAAAGGGCCCTGTGACCTGGAACGACCACACACAAGTGCAGCCTGTGATGCAAATCTCATGCAAAAGCCAGCTCCGTTCAATGCAGTGAATAGCTTACTGCAGCCACCCTCCCTTCATCTGCTTTAGCACCGGGCCCTTTGAAGCGAGCTGCCTGGTTTCAGCAAGGGACACATTTCCATGAATATACAGCTAGCAAAGCCTGTGCAGATTTACAGAAAATGCTCAATACATCCCCCCCAGCCCCACAAGCCAGCTACAGCCTAGTATGGCTGGGTGCAGCCTTCCCTCCCCCAAGACATGGGGCTATTTCCCCACTTTCTCCCTCCCTCTCTAATTGGTTTCCCAGAATTCCCCACGAATATCCCGTCCTAAAAACAGCCCCCCAGGGTCAGACCAACCAGTCCATCCAGCACAGTACCCTGTCTTCCCACAGCAGCCAATGCCAGGTGAACAGAACAGGGCCACTCCCAGCTTCTGGCGGTCAGAGGCCGCTTTCACTTTTATGCCAGATCTAGCTCATTGCCTGTGAAAGTCAGCCCTCCCCCAAGCTATCGTACCCAACAGCTCCCCCCCTCACCCTATCCTTAGGCTTAACCTGCATGGCTTGGAGAAGGGTCCTCCCATGCCTACCTTTTCATTTCCTCCCCCACAGAACTCCCCAGGCCTGCTTAAGCATTAAACCCTTCCCTGGTGCATCTTCCCCCACAGCCTGGCTGGAAACCCAGGAGGACCGGCAGCGGGGACAGATGTCAATCTAACGACAAAAGGGACAGACAAGGGCCCGCAGGCTGTGCCCAAACACCCAAGCAGATGGGGATTCACTTCCACTAAAGCACACACCAGCTTCCCTGACAGACAGGCAAAGCCCCGTTGATTTCTAGCCTGGGTTGTGTGTGCCACGGTCAGCAAGGTGGGTGCTGCATTCCCACCCACCCCCACACTCAGATGTAACACACTGGGGTTCCTTTTCCTCCTGCACCTGGCAAGAGAGCAGGGTGCCCACTGGCACCCTGCTGGCTGGGTTGGCATGAGTGCCCATGAAGCCCTACCTTGCCTTGTCAGGTAGAGCATGATGCAAGGGGGCTTGAGCTGATTGGCTCTTCTAAGCAGGTTCTGGCTCAGACGATCTAAATCAGCAGCAACGTGCTCTCCTGTGAGTCTTTCCCACAGCAATTCAGGTATCAACGCGCTGCAGGGATGCCGTGCTCGGCAGCATCAGGAAGGGGTTATTAGCCGTGCACTTGCCCGGGCAGCGAAGCCAGGACTCTTGGGCCTGTAGATGTGAAAGGGGGCAGCTGTACAGGTAGGCTGGAGCAGAACCAAGCTGGAAAGCCTCAGCTACACATCACCAGGGCAGTTTTCTTCCCACAGAGGGGGAAACACACTTCCCTGCAGAAAGAACAGGACGACTTGTGGCACCTTAGAGACTAACAAATTTATTAGAGCTTAAGCTTTCGTGGGCTACAGCTCACTGCGTCGGCTGCATAGAATGGAACATATAGTAAGATATACACATACCCACAGAGAAGTTGGGAGTTACCATACAAACTGTGAGAGGCTAATTAAGATGAGCTATGATCAGCAGGAGAAAAAAACTTTTGTAGTGATAATCAAAATGGCCCATTTAGACAGTGGACAAGGTGTGAGGATATTTAAGGAAATAGATTCAATAAGTGTAATGACCCAGCCACTCCCAGTCTCCCTTCAAACCCAAGTTAATGGGATCTAGTTTGCATATTAATTCAAGCTCAGCAGTTTCTGGTTGGAGTCTGTTTTTGAAGCTTTTCTCTTGCAAAACTGCCTCCCTTAAAGAATGAATGGACACAAATCTGACATCAGGAATCACAACACTCAAAAAACGGTAGGCAAACACTTCAACCTCTCTGGCCACTCAGTAGAAGATTTAAGGGTGGCAATTTTGCAACAAAAAAGCTTCAAAAACAGACTCCACCAAGAAACTGCTGAGCTTGAATTAATATGCAAACTAGATCCCATGAACTTGGGTTTGAAGAGAGACTGGGAGTGGCTGGGTCATTCCACTTATTGAATCTATTTCCTTAAGTATCCTCACACCTTGTCCCCGGTCTAAATGGGCCATTTTCATTATCACTACAAAAGTTTTTTTCTCCTGCTCATAGCTTATCTTAATTAATGCATCCGATGAAGTGAGCTGTAGCTCACAAAAGCTTATGCTCAAATAAATTGGTTAGTCTCTAAGGTGCCACAAGTCCTCCTTTTCTTTTTTCTTAATTAAATTAGCCTCTCACAGTTTGTATGGTGACTTCCAACTTATCTGTATGTTTCAGAGTAACAGCCGTGTTAGTCCGTATTCGCAAAAAGAAAAGGAGGACTTGTGGCACCTTAGAGACTAACCAATTCATTTGAGCATAAGCTTTCGTGAGCTCATGCTCAAATAAATTGGTTAGTCTCTAAGGTGCCACAAGTACTCCTTTTCTTTTTATCTGTATGTGTATATCTTACTATATGTTCCATTCTATGCATCCGATGAAGTGAGCTGTAGCCCACGAAAGCTTATGCTCTAATAAATTTTAGTCTCTAACGTGTCACAAGTCCTCCTGTTCTTTTTGCGGATACAGAGTAACACCGCTGCTACTCTGAAACCTTCCCTGCAGGTTAACCTGCCCAACCATCTGGCACTGAACTGCTGATGCTAGACTCCGGCCCATTCCCCACCACTGCACAGCAGCCCTCCCTGCCTTTCACCTGTGACAGCAGATGCCTTGGCTTCACTAGACAGGTCGCTGCGCAAAGCTGCCCAGCTGGTGCCTGACTGGCCAGAGGCAGGGGGGACACCAGTCACTGTCCGGCGGAGCCTTGACATAGTTTGCTGCCTGCCTCAGCACTCCTTGTACGAAGGATGATTAAAGGCAGCAAAGTTCAGCCTTCCCCAAGCTGCCTGACCTACTGGCTCATTTGTTAATCCCGTTTGACAGCAGCGGGATGCAATACACTGCTTGTCTGCAGCTGGGTAAGCTTGCCAGTCATTTAAGCTACACCAGACTGATGACTGAAATTGATGTGCATGTCAGAGAAAGGGCAGGCAGCATAGGCTGCCATCCTTTCCTCTGGGATCTTCTCTAGCGCCTTAGCTTAGTGACTGATGCGCTTTTGGGGGTGAGGAATTTCTCAGAGAAACTTATTGCTAACGGTCTTGCTAACAGTACCGACCAAACCTGGCTGCCAGAAGAGGTCAAAGCTTGGTGAGTCTGCATGCCACGCTGCGTCTGGACAGGGAGAGGGAATAGAGGTCGCTGGGGCTGGAGGGGGAATGAACACTGACAGGTGGGAGTCGGCTCAAACCCGATTTCTGCACAAACACAGGCAAAGCCTTTGGGTTTAATGCTGCAGTGCTAGTCGCAAAGGAACGCTCTTCCCGTTCCCTGGCGGACAGCAGCACCACCTAGTGCTCATCTAAGACATTTCAGACACGCCGGCTTGAGACGGCTCTCAGCTTCCACTCAATCTTTCGTGTGCCAAGGGCGAGGTAGACCGGTTTTTTAATTTTGACAAGAGTCAGTGTTTGTGACAGCCTGGTGCTCTTCGGTGTCCACATTCTCCATAACTGGGTGGAGAAGAATTGCTGTTCTCTTATGTAAAAGTACTCCAGGATCTGATTTCCTTTTGATCTGTCACCTCTTCCAGTCCATGGGTACTTAGGAAAGCACGGCCGGCAGAGTTCATGCTCGCTAGGAGGAAAGGAGTTTTCTTGGGTCTCTTCCTCTGCCTGGCTAGAGGCTGAGAACTCATCCTCTGCAAGCAAGGAGGCAAGGGAAGATGCTGGTTAGTAGATTGTTTTCATGAACAGCATGGTTACTTTTTGGAGAGCCTCTTCCCACCTGGTTAATTTCCCAAGGATAGGCCTGGAAATAAACTCAGCAGCCCCTGACAGAGGAGACGGGCTGCTGACTCCATGTGTGCCCTGCTACTTGAGGTAGGTCTGAGCCACTGCTGTACTTCCAGTAAAGGGGTGAATCCCAGTCCTTTACTGGTTACTGATAGGGAGTCTGCAGCTAATGGTGCCACCAGGGATCTGCCACAAGGCAGTCCGGGGCTCAGGAGGGACAGCCCTGTTGGTACTGGAACCTCACCAAACCTCGACTAGGGAACTACTGTCTCCTGCTGGGCTTGAGGTATTCCCACTACAGCTGCTGCTGGAATCTCTCTGCCCACCGCAGCACTGGCATGTGAGATACCAGACTGAGGGAGCGTCAAAGCTCTTGTCCTCTCACTGCTTCCAAGGGCAGCCACAGAAGCCTCCGGGAACCACTATTCCTAAGTGTGTCCTTTGCCAAGGCAGGAGATGAGGTGGAGAGCTCTGTCTCTGCACGAGGTGGGGAAAACAAGGCTGCTTCACACAGTCAAGCAATTCTCTCTGCCCTAAAGGGACGCTGCTGGAGGAGCACAGCAATTCCCAGCTGAGAAAAGAAAGGAGGAACTTTGATCTGAGTTGCAGGCTCCAATGGGAATGGCAAGCCCCCTGATCTGGTGACTGACAAGTTCGGTCCCATTTCAGCTACACAGCAGAAAACCCAATGTAAAAATGGCAAACCTGGATATGAACCAATAGGACTGAACGGTCCAAAAAGGCGATTGTAGCCAATTTTTATAATTGAGAAGAAACATTGAGTTCTACTTTCTATATTGATAGAAACAGCTATTTAATTCAGGTCTATCATCTGCACACCTCTGGGGCTGCTGGATATATTTTTGCAAAATGGTTTTCTGGCCATGTTTCACTATTTGTGCCACTGTGGCTATTAAAGGAAGAGGAAAAAGTTATTTTGCTGCAGACAAACATTCTAGCTGACATTTGTATGCAAGGCAAAACTACACGTTTGGAGACAAAGACATCAAGAGTTTGTGTTTATTTGTCTACATTCAGCTTAATCAAGATGTACTGCCTGAATGATCCAGACATACAAAACCCACTCTTTCCCACTGGTTTTTAAAATAAAATCTTCACTTATAAAACTGAAACACTAAAGCATTAAAATACAGAAAGCTTGTTTAACTCACTTCACAAAAGCATTAACAGATGGCATATCCCTTATCTATTTAAAGCCATACTGGGTTAACACTTGAATGACAATTTTAAATAGAAAAAGGATACTGAAATTTTATTAACTCAAAAATTCTATTTAGACAAAGTTGTAATGGCAACTAACAAACCATTAAATACATAGATGTCCAAAATACAGCTAAGTATGGAATTACAGGTACTCGACCATTAGTGACGGATATCACAAAGAGCACTGCAACATGGAAACGGGGGTTTACATGTTTACTGTGATGCAATAAAACTGAATATTCAAAGGGTGCGCAAGTGCGGAAGGTAACAAAACTTCACACCCACGGAGAAAGGGTCGGTTTATCTGTACTGATAATTCATGTTGTGATCGTTTCTGCCGTAGCCGCCTTGGGAAGCTTGGTAGGAACTTGGGGGTCCGCTGTAATTCTGGCCTGAACCTGGAGAGCTGTAGTTAGTCTGAGAAGAATATCCACCTGAAATGGAGAGCGAAGAGTTCATCTAAACCATGTTGAGACGAGCTATTTTAACACAACAGTACGCAACAAGAATTGTTGTTACTTATCCAGTCTGGGCTGCCATCCAGCAGAGCACACACAGAAAACAGAAGAGTGGTGACTGCATCTTTGCACCACACACAAACACATTTTACAAAGGAGAGCCGAAGAGGGTTGTGTACTGACCTTGCTTACCTTGGTAAGACGACCCTCCTCCCCCAGATCCTCCCCCATAGCCGCTGTGTGAACCAGTATTGTATGAGGCACCTCCTGACCCATAGTTATTTCCTCCACCTCCACCACGGCCACTGCCGCCACCATAACCTGCAATTGAGAACACACGCTGAGCAAGGCTGACAGTGAAGTCTGCAACTCTGCTCTTAGACCAGGACACCTTAAAAATATCTAGACTATCAATACAGAACTGAGTTAGTAACAGAAACTGCCAAGGAGTTTATGACTCATCAAGGTAAGGGTTACGGCCAAGTGTTCAATTAGAGAAAATCTTTCTCCTGCAGCCTTTGGCTGGTAAAAGTGCCACAGGCTTAGCTGCCAGCGCAGGAGAGGCTTGACCAGTCAGAGCTGCACCAAGGAGAGACTACGGTCTGTAACAGGGTAACTTCTCCACAGCCTGTACAATTGCATATGGCTGGAGGGTCTGGCCTACAGCTGGAAGAACAGCTCATGCAAGTAAAAAAATTCCTTTTGTGGAGAGTGGGGACTTGGGTAATTTTTTGGCTGAGTCACATGGGTGGCCTCAATTAGCCTTGCCTAGCCAAAAACTACATGGGTGTTGTACGTAAATTTGTTAGTCTCTAAGGTGCCACAAGGACTCCTCATTGTTTTTGCATGAAGAAACAGTATTTCTGGACAGAGGTGTTTACGGGCCTTGAAGATTCTTTCAAACCCTGTTCATGTCCCTGATTCCACGCCACTGCTCCTTAACCAAGGCTGGCTTTTGGCATAAGTGCCCTGAAGCAGTTTGATTTGTGATGGAAAGACCAAAACTATCAAATGTTTATTCTTCTAAAGTGTTAAAGACTAAATGCCCAACTGATCACGTTAGTGGTAATGTAGCAGACAATATCCACAAAGACGCAGCACAATTGTACAGGCTGTGGAGAAGTTACCCTGTAACAGACTATAGTCTCTCCTTGGTACAGCTCTGACTGATCACGGGAAGTAGCATCAGAATGGGAGAGAGATCAGTCTAACAGGTCAAAAGGCCAATCTGGTATCTGCTACATTTGGCAGCAAACTACTAAGGCTGCGTCTCTACTTAACATGCTACAGCGGCACAGCTGCAGCTCTACTGAATCTCTTCGGTGTAGACTCTCACTACAGCGAGAGGAAGGGTTCTCCCATTGCTGTAGTTAACCCACCTCCCCGAGAGGCAGTAGCTATGCCTGTGGAAGAATTCTTCTGTGGACCTAGCACTGTCTATACGAGGGTGTAGGCCAGCTTAGCTTTCTCTCAGGGGTGTAGCTTGTCACACAGCTGAGAGGTGTAGCTATGCTGACTTAAGTTTCCAATGTAGACCAGCCCTACGTGTAACAGGGACAGTTTAACTTCACTAACTACCTACATTATTCTAGCAGATTCAGATCCTGAATATGGATACCATCTCACTCTGGAATGAAGTCCACAGGGTGTCCATTTCAGAATACAGATTTACATTCACTGGGAGTCCTACTTCTTTCCAGTTGAACACTAAATACGGTATCTAAACTACACGAAATAGGAGGATATATTTATGTCAAACCCACGGATTTTCTGCCCAGAATCACCAGGAATAGAAAGGCCAGGTACACAGAATGGGCCTGCATTTAGAATTTGTAATTCTCTGCATCTCAGACCAGACACATGATCAAGGGCTAGTCTCTCACTAGCCATCTTTCATTTGGACTGTATATCATGAAGAAACAGGTTTTAGAGTGGTAGCCATGTTAATCTGTATCAGCAAAAACAACAAGCAGTCCTTGTGGCACCTTAGAGACTAAAATTTATTTGGGCATAAGCTTATACCCAAATAAATTTGTTAGTCTCTAAGGTGCCACAAGGACTCCTCATTGTTTTTGCATGAAGAAACAGTATTTCTGGACAGAGGTGTTTACGGGCCTTGAAGATTCTTTCAAACCCTGTTCATGTCCCTGATTCCACGACACTGCTCCTTAACCAATAAAGGAAGTTTCAGCAGAGCAACACACCCATAATGGACTCTCATGCCAACATGGCATTGAAGTACCATCATCACAACTCCTGAAGCTCACTACAATTCTAATGTTTAAGGCAGTACCGCCTGTTCACCCCAAAAAGACTTCATAATCCCTGTGGAAATCTGTCTGGCCCCCAAATGTAGCATTTTAACCCTGAGTATCTACTTAGGTCCTTATAAACAATCCCCCACTCACTGAATTTGCTCTCGTAGTTGTAGTCTGATCCTCCGCCAGAGGAGTTGTAAGAATTAGAGTAAGAGTAGTTGCCTTGTCCGTGATTATATCCTTTTTGTTTGCCTTGCGGAGGGCCGTAATTGCTGTACTGATTTTGGTTGTAAGACTGCTGTTGCTGGCCTTGGTGGGATTGATACCCTGACCCATAGGAAGGTTTTTGCTGTCCTCCATGCTGCTGCTTCTTTCCAGCATGTTTGGGTGGAACTGGTGAGCTGTAGTTGTCACCACCTTGGTAGTAGGATCCATAGCCAGAGGAGCCCCCGCCGCCACCACCACCTCCACCACTTCCTGTGTTGCCGGAGTGACCACCATTGCTATAAAACTGGCCTGAACAAAGAAGAGGAAGTCAAACGGTGTTTCTGACAGGCTTGAGGAAACAGTCACTCCACCACTTTGTTTTAAAATACCTTATTAAATGTAAATGGTTGTGTGCCTTGTATCACACTATGATGTTTTGACATTATATAAGCAGCAGTTTAGACTCCAGAACTCTTTTGACCAACACAAGAAGATTTAAGTAATTCCAGACAAGGCCAACAGGTGTAACATTTTGTTCATTTAAGTAGATAAGGAATCACGATACACATTGACACAGGATCTTCCAGTTACTATCACTGCTCATTAAACAACTCTTCAAGTCTTAGGAATTAAATGTGTGTAGAACTTTAAGGATCTGTATCAAATTCTAGAACTAAGTTCAAGGTGACTAGTGGTTTTTCCAATGCATGTTACAATATCTAACAATTATTACTTAATGTTCTACAAAGTTAGTTGGTCTCGTCCTCAAATTACACTGGAGACAAGCTAGCCACCAATGATAATTGAAGCTCATTCTCCACAGAAAAGGAATGAAAATCAGGAAGAATCTTACTCCAGTGACAAGGACTTAGAGCCAACACCCATACAAATCACTCTAAAATAAAGAGCACTTTCCACATGAAATGCTGTTTGAATAGGAATAATTTGACTGAAATCAAAGATGCCTTATACAAAGCTTATCCAACTGTACCAAAGTGCTCACTCCATCAAATTCTGGCATCAGCATGAACTCAGAAGGTTACCAGAACCCTGTGTTAGGGCTGAGGATCCCCAAAAGGAATAACTGGAATAACCTTGTACTTAGTCTTTTGGCAGCTAGAAACTTATTTTCTGATCGACCTGTGGCACTAACAGACTGGATCTTGCACTGTTGAGTAACTACCTTCCTGCCCAATTTAAACATGTTCAGGTTTAAGGGATTGTTCAGTTCAGGCCCTAGATAATTGGCCTACTTTAATAACTTAAGACGAGAGCAGGTATGTTGCATTTTGATTTTTTAATAAAGGTCATGATTCTTATTTACCAAGAAACAACAGCCACTAGGATCTAGACAAAAACCTGCATCACTGTCCACAGTAGAGTACGCACAGCTCCAGGAGCTTAAGTGATGCTTGAGAGACAGGTGGAGTTTTACTGAGTTAAACTACATTAGAAACAAAGGAGGGGTGTAATAAAAACATAGTACTTCTCAAATAGAGAAGAATGTAAAGTTAAAAAGTCAAGGAGTAAACTTGTGACCTTTAACAGCTCCACATTTGTGAAACTTTAAAAAGCACATCTGAATGATGGAACGTGAATCAGAGCTCATTTCCAACATACAAACTGCAGTTTGTACAGAAGAGCTGGCTCTAGGAACCATCCAGCTTTTTTCTTTATTTTGCATACTAGTTTAAAACTTCTAATATTCCTGGAATAACCATTTAAAAGGACTTCACCCCACCTCCAAATTAGGGTAAGGCCCTTTCCACACTATGCAAATAAACATGTTATAACATGTCTCTTCTTCTGTGGGCAGAAGGCCACATTTCAATAGGGCAGAAACAAGGTTCTTTAATAGTTCTTTCCACCCAAAAGAAGTTATAACATGGTTATACCATACTACAATAAAAAATATTCCTGTAGTGTGTAGCTTGGTACTAAACCTCCAGTCTTTGGTACAAACAGAGATCCAGAGTTATAGCAAAAGAATATATGAAAGAATGCAGAAGTGAGCTTCTTCCGAATGGGAGGTGAGGGAGAAACCTGCATCACCTGAGCTGAAAACGTAAATGGTGGAAGTTGATGCTTTTCCCAAGAGAGTTAAGACAGCTTTTGGGACAGTCATTTCTAGATGAATGCTTTATATTTAACTAGGCAAGTGTTAACACTGTTCAATGCCTAAATTCCACCCCTGTTCAGTTAAAACTACTGAATAAAAATATCCAACACACAAGTTACTTTAACATGTATTCATTTAAAAAAAAATGGCATTTTCACCTCATTCAGAACAATATCTATTCCCTTGTATAAAAAGACATTATCTCAAACAATAACTTTCTAAAAAAAATAGGACATGCATTATTTTTTTAAAAAGTGTTCACACTGAATATTTAAAATTTTGCCCAAGGAGGTTTCAGCAACCGGATGTTTGACAGGAATACAGACTAACACGGCTGTTCCTCTGAAACCTGACAGGTTACTGTTTTCACCAGTTTAAATTATTGAGTTAACTAAAAGGTTATTGAGCCTCACAAATTAAATTAATGCAATGCTTCAGGATTTGCAGCTAAAAAGAACAGTGACAAAGAAAATACAATTTTGAAACATAAGTATCATAGCAAGAATAAAGGACCGAACACATGATCTTTTATTAAATATTAGAGAGTCTCAAAAGGCAATTTATTCCCTGAGACTTCAAACTCTTATGACGTTTCATTGTCCGGGCTATTAAATACTTCTGCTTTTAGGGCAATGTGCATTTTACAAGAGGCATAAGCTACAGAGAATATCAGATGGCCTGAGCAGCCAGTCAGCCTGCTGGGTTTGCAACCCTTGGACATTTTAGTTTTTGAAGTGCTTTAGGCCCTTTATGCTTGGATCAAAAAAGCCCATTTTTATGTAACTAATGAACCCACGCATTTTTAAGAAGTCATGAAAACTAACACTTTTACATCAACTCCTTAATGCCTGGATATTTATTGTACCAGTATTGGAAGCACAGTACAATACCTTTGACAGTATACTAGCTAGCAGCCACAATAAGTCACACCCCTCCAGCATTTATTCACCAGTGTATTACAAAGGATGTAAAGATTAATTTAGCACATATGATTGCACATACAAGTCACCATTTTGCATGCTTAAAATGCTGGGCTGTACTAGATTCAGAAACGCTGAAAGTATCTTCCCTACTGTCAGAGGCATCAACCCAAGTTCTGGTGTTTATTAAAAGGCTTAAATTTTGTACAAAACCTGCTGTAAATTAAGACAAAGGTAGATTAAAACTTCAGTATTTGTTTCTTAAAAATAAAGTAATGCTTTCCATAAAAAGCAAAGGTGGGCTTTTTGCCTTTATGCTGAACAGAGCTGACTTTAAAATTTGTGCAAATTGCACAAAAACGTTCTTGGATAATTAGTTCCCCCTGTTGTGTACATCAAATTACGAGCAAGTTCAAAGGCAAATCACAATAAAAACTGCCACTGTCTTAAGTTCTGCCGGCTAATAGTTTCAGACAAGCTGCGGTGAAAAGCCACTGTTGAGAAACCCAGTGAAGCACAGGGACACAGCACGAACACTTTGGGTTTTGGAGTTCGAGAAAATTGGAGTAAAAAGCTGTTTTTTGCAATACTTTTAGATGATCTAGGAAGACCCAAAATCATGATAGCCGTAGCAGTCTGTGAAAAAGTCACCTACAAAAGGGGGAGACAGAGCAGAGAAAAAAATTAGAATTCTTTTGAAGATGGCAAAATGCGCCACATTTGAAAGTCATGTTTTAGATTTCTCTGCTCCTGTCACCCCCCAATGAAGGCTTCTTCTCAAGACAAATAGCTGTGTATTTTCAGGAAAATCTTATTCACAAGAGTGGTGGATTGCTTCACATGGCTTAAAGCAGAGAAATTTAAAATATTCACATTTGAAGAGGAAACCTGATGTTACCTGGATTTGAGTTTAAGTTTTAAACATCTGATTCAGCTCCCTTTCATTATTTCTCATTTTAAAATGAACATGCTATGATGGTTCAGGTACAGGTATATCACTGTATGTTGAAACCCAGAGTTCAAGTAACCCCAGTTGGGTGCTGTGTTTCAAAGATTAAAACCTTAACACTTACTATAGCCTGCTGTTGCAGAATTTCCTCCATAACCATAGCTTCCGTATCCAGCTCCTAGAATGGAGGAAAGCAATTACTCTAAGATATTCATTTTCTATTGTTGATGAAAGGAATGAAAAGCTCATTAAAACAAACTTCACTTCCAATAAGCTACAGCGTAAGTTATCTAATTTGTGTAATGTAGGAACTCTATTACCACCTATATGCTTAAACCAAGAAAGCTGATCAACTCCATTGGAGATACCCTACTTGTGAACACCTACTTCACTTTACATGTATTAAGTTTAACATGCGACAGCAGACATTTAGTTAGTAGAGTGAAACATTCACGGTAACTCACCAGCATTCATATAGCCACCATGATTGCCACCACCAAATCCACCTCTGCCTCTGCCACGGCCTCTGATGTTGCCTCCTCTGCCACGTCCACGCAGATTTGGGGGAGGTGGCACTTCATTGTGCATGGGGCCTCCCATTCCAAAACCTGGATTATGCTGCTGTGGAAGAGACACCTTGTTACACAACCCTATTTTTAAATCAGCATTTCAGTGCCCAACCTGAAATGGATTTGTGTTTCTGAAGTCCAGTGCAGGTAGAACTGAGCTACGAACTTGAGTGTTTGGCCCTAATTCTAAACCTAGGGGTAAATCGATCTCCGTTTCTCCGAAGGCAAACGGGGATAACAACCACCCCTCCTCTGCCTCTCTGGGGTGTTGAGTAACATTGCTTAGGTTACACACACAGAACAGAAACATTTAAAATCACCAGCAAGTGTGCCTACCTTTACTGCAAACTTGGGTCCCCCCTTGCAGGTACAGGGGCTCTTTTCTTCTTATTGGGCTCAACAGCAACTGGAGCATCGGGAAACAGCTTCTCTAGGGCAGCTAAAGCAGCGTAGGCTTTTGCCACTTTTTTGTTTGAGCCAGCTCCTTGAAATTTCTGCCCATCAACCTCAACCTTAGAAATAGATTAAATAACCATGCTATGAATCACACAAGAGATGTCACTTTTGACACTGCTATGTTGGTAAATTATGGCATAGCTTGCTACTTCCATGCACAGTGTCAGACAGAAATTAGTATGAACTAGTGAAATTTTACTAGGCCTGGAAGTTAAAGCTGCACAGAGTGTCTATAAATGTAACCTTGTGTACAGAGAACTACAAAGTCGCTCACCTCCATGACAAAGCGCTTGTCATGGCTGCCACCTGTTTCTGAAATCAGTTCGTATTTTAGACCACGCCTCTTCTCATTGAGTTCCATCACTGGATTCTTGCCATGCTTAGTCAGGATTGGTCCCTGTTGTTTCACATTCTAAAATAAATTAGAAGTGCCGTTAAAGGTACAAAGAGCTGTTGGACTTGGAGTTATCCAATGTATGCTTGTGGTTTTTATAATTAAGGAAAATGTTAGTCTTAAAGGGAAAGTTACATTGAAAGTTAAGTTTGAGGAATAAAAGTTTCAGCTATAACCCTTATAATTATTGTAACTGAAAAGTTAATGATTTTTATAGTTTTATTTTGCATTTGTCAGCATTATGTATATAGTCAGTGTGCTCCTTACCTAGAACACCCCTTTAAAACAGGAGAGAAAAAATCCTCAAATATTTTACGGGATTGTAAGGAGTTTCAGGACACACTATTTAATCAAAACTCCACTGAAACTCAAGTGGACAGTATTCCTTTTAAAAAGTGCTTGAGAGTTTCAGACTCATGAGTGAAAGAATCATTTAAGCAGCTTGTCACAACACGGCTCTCCTGAAGGTTGGAGGAAAGATTTGGTCTCAAAAGATGTAAGAAGTCTGTGCTCACCTCTGGAGTTTGCTCTGAGGGAGGAGAAGCAGCACTGGGTGTAGAGATAGTTTCCACTACAGGAGGAGGAGGAGCAACTACTGGTTTCTGTTCTGTTTCTTCTGCCGATTCATCTCCTTTTCCAGACTCTTTGCCTTCCACTCCTGTAGGTAAACCCATATCCTGCAACACCTAAGGGTGCAGGAAGGGAGACAGGCCATTGAGAAGTACTGACACTATATCCTCCATGCCTCTTATACCCCTACGGTGAGGTACGTAGCTGAGAGGGCTGTGTAGAAGTGGATCCACTGGCCCTGTCCCAGAAATTACAACTACCTCCATTCGTTCCAAATGTAGTATTAGCCCAAGCTTCATCCATCCCCACTGATGGTGCTAAAACTTCCAGGAGGCTATAACCATTCCCCCAAGCCCTACAGGCCCTTTAAACATTGGCAACAAAAAGGGTAAAGTCTTTTGGCTAGTGATTTACTTAATCCGTCAAGGGCTGCTACTATTTCAGCGTTTTAACTTCAACACAAAACTGTACCCAGTGTAGAAGGGCCTACACACTTCACATATGATTTCTAACATGATCTTCCAGAAGATTAAGTCTAAGGGAGTAACTGTTTGGATACTAATGTTTTTTAGAGAAAGGAATTTGAAGGGGGGGAAAAAAAGTGTTTACATGAAGACAAAGCTCTTACTTTTACTGCCACATGCAATTTGGCTGTCTTTTTGGAAGGTCCAGATGCCTCAAACGTACTGCCATCGACTTCCACGGACATAGTAAAGATAGGAGCATGAACCGGACCAGTCTGAGACACAAGTTTGTACTGGAGACCAGGTTTTAGCTGATTTAATTTCATCAGTGCATTCATAGCCTGGGGAGGTTCAGTTTTTTCCTCTAAACAGAAAAACAGTTTGTTTGTTAGACATGCACATTTGTTTTAAGACAAACTTGACAACTGAATTCAGACAATAAGAGGTTTCAATCTGCCACTGTGGACTTCTTGTTTAGAAGTACAGATTTGAAAGGATCATTTATAGTAGATAAAGCCTTAAAAAGCAGGAGAAAAATCCAGTCACTCAGATTTACAAGCCATTCCACAAGAAACACTTTCTTCTGCAGTTTGCCCCTCATTTAGTCTGAAAACAGCTCTTAGGCAGCAACTTGTTACCTACCTCTGGTTAACTCAATACCTTTTTTCTGAATCTTCTTTTTCTTTTTGCTGGGAGACTTCTCCTCTCCATCCTCCTCCATAGGACGCTTCATTGGGGTGATGGCATATGTGGTACTGGGGGGAATCTGGACTGTAAAGATCATAAGAGGCAGCTAAATATATCAATTACTGAGTGATGGAGTAGCAAGAGCACTGGGCACTGAGAATGTATTCGTTTATTCCAATACCTACCAGTGTAGTCAACTGGATTTTCGTTCTTTGGTTTCTTGGGCATCTTGGAAGGCAGGGGATCCATCCCCAAGACCTTGTGAAGCTGGCCAAAAGCAGCAAGTCTCAAAGCATGCTAAAAAGATGGAACACATGTTAATGGGATGCACAAGTTGCTAAAGTAATATTTGCTCACTGCAGAGGTTCAAAGAGGAATCTTCTACCCACCCCTGCTCAAAAAAAAAAAAAAAAAAAAAAAACCAACAAAAAACACACCAAAAAAGACAGCTCAGTTTAAATGGGATGCTCCTTAGAATTCTAAGTTCAATCCAAAACCTGGGCCACAGCGGTAAGTCACTATTTAAAACCTGATACTTTGCTTCTGGCAGATGAAACTATAAATTTCTTTTTTAGTGTGAGACCCATTTTTTTACATGACTAGGTATTAAAAAAATTAAAACCAACCTCAGAGAGGTTACTAGACTACCATTAACCAATATGGAAGTTCAACATAAATTGAACTCATTAAGTTTTTGCAACATCTGTAGGCAAAACTATACCTGAGCACTCTGTGTGATATCTTCCCTTTGTTGTCTGTCTAGATGCCCAATAGCATCAGTGGCTTCTTTTTCACAAGGATCATAAATACCAGAACCATCTGAAGGCAGGAAACAAGGAAGATATGCAGAGAATTATCCTAGTGTTTCTAAAAAAACTAAACTAAGTATTCCCTTGGCATCATTCAACACTCATCTGTGTAACACCGATCAACGTCCAACATTTTGAAATTTATCTGGATTATTTTACAAGTACAATTATAAGTGAAGTTGGTTAATACCACTTAGAAAGTAAGACAACCAATTTAACACTTGTAGAATCTGGTACTTCACACTGCAGGGCTTATCATCATGGGTCCTTGTGCCCTAGATAAAATGATGGTACTGTAATACCCATTTATGCTACATATTTTTATGAACTTTTAAATCTCAACTGTGCAAACACAGAATCACAGAAATGTAGGGCTGGAAGGGCCGAGAGGTCATCTTGTCCTCCTCCTCGCGCTGAGGCAGGATCAAGTATACCTAGACCAGTGGTTCTCAACCTGCGGCCCATGGGCCGCTTGCAGCCCAATCAGCACAGAGCTACAGCCCATGTGACATCCTCAGGGCCATACAGGTAGTATTGGATGCGGCCCACATAGCACACTGGGCCATATATGTGACCCACAATGGTAAATAGGTTGAGAACCACTGACCTAGAGCATCCCTGACAATGAGGGGGGCCTTGTAAGTACCACACAATACTATAATGCACCAAACTTTAATTGCATCCCATGTGATTTCTTGCTTTGAAATGTATATGCAGAGAACCATCTAACCTGGCATAACAATTCCTGATGCAAGACATTCAAGTACTCTTCTCAGGGCCTCACCAGCTCCCATTGGTCTATTAGCTGTTCCAATTGATTTTTCACACAGCAGCTCCAGAGGCTGTAAAACATTTGAGATTTTAAAAAGTGAGAGATGCAGACACATGACGGTTTTAGGGAAACTTTACAACAAATGCCTAAGCAAAAGCAAAAGAATCACCAAATTGAATATAAGCAGCAGAGGGCTGTAACTGCCATAAGTTTAGAAATTACTTTAAATTCAGCCTACAGATCCAAAGTATGTGATCATATAGAAAGTCTTCAAGTGTATATTTCAAAACCAAAATGCTTCAATAATGTCTTCAAATTAAAGAAAGTTGCAATTTGTGAAAATGGCATTTCAGACTGAAGAACAGTTCTCTCCAGTGACTTAAAGAATAAAACCAAACAATTCAGAAAACAGTAAAAAAAAAAATTAAAATTACCCATCCTCTAAGTGGTCCCCAAGTAGGAATCCGAGTACACAGATCTCTCAGCACCCTGATGACTATGACGCACGATTTCAGACCATTAGCCCTGGCCTAGAATAAGTAATCAAGCAAAGGCATATTCAATAAAAATACCAAAACCAATTTATGTGCAGACAAATATTAATTTTTGCAGTGCTACTTTGTCAAGGGTAAACAATATATATTTACATCATTACAATTTTATAACGGAATAGTAATTAGTGTACAAAAGTGACATTACTCTTAACACAAAGCAGCAACTATGCATCTACTCATTAAAAAAAGTTTCCTCTTTGAACATTAAATTCGCTTAAGTGCTTCTTTAGCAACTGTATGGTTGACAGACGCTAAGTTCAGCACAACTATCGTCCAATGTTAAAGTACTTTAATATAAAGTTAGATATTTGTAAACTTTAACTGGCTACTTAAAGACAAATATAAGAACAAAATGCAAACCTGGAACCACTTGGCGTGTCGGAGTGACGCCAAGGCAGCAAGGCATTTCTGCCTGTCCAGAACGTCCGGGGTGTCGTTGACTGATAGCGTTTCTATTCGTGGATGGAATAAGAAGACAGGCACAGTTTGACCAAGGGGGTTCTGTCAGGTGGAGAGGGGATGAGGCAGCTTCCTAAAGGGCAGCGGAGGCTCCCAAAAGATCTCGAGCTATACCCTTTACCTGAAAGGATAGTCTGCAGTACACTTCACTTTATTACCCTTAACTGGAACTTCACACTGCAGAGAGGGGGAGATTAATGTAACAGGGAATAGGCTAACTCCTATACTATGAGGGGAAAGAGGAATTCTGTGTAGGAGGGGACAGAAAGCCTATACTGCTTTAACAAAGCTTCAGAAAGTAGAATTCTACGGTACCTAACAGAAAGGGAAGTTTGAACTTAACCCTCACTCTACATCCAGAGCAGAGGTAAAGGCTTTTCTAAAGCCAAGGGAACCCCCTCCGCCCACAAGGCTTGACTGCCCTGGCCCCGGCCCGTGACAGAGTGCGTCCTGTTGGTCAAAGGTCCAGCGTCCCTAAAATTGACAAACTAGAAGGCTTGGTAGACGAAGTCAGATATCAGAACCATAGACAATCAATAGAGCACAAAAATATTCTCCAGTCTGTGCTGCAGCAAAACTGAAGATTTGTGTTACTAATTTTGAAGTGTCTGAAGACCAGGGTTTTAGATAAGGCTAGTTCGAACACTTGTTATGCATACAAGTTCATGAGTCAAATAGTGTGATGCTTGTGATACAGAACTGATTATAGTAAGATTTTTCAAGTGAAAATATTTTTGACGTCTTATTCCAAAGAGTAAGTTTGAATAAGATCATGGATGGCGTCTAACTTTATCCAAAACTCTGCATCACGTCCTGGAATTCTGAACTTTAGCTGATAAAACAGCCAAAGAGACCCAACAGTGCACCTATCATTTTTGCTGCAACACAAACCATTTTATATAACATATCCAATTTTATGTACATGCAAAAGTCATTTACAAGAAGCCTTCAATATTTTTTAAGGTACAAGCTTACATTTGATGTCATTTGTGTGGGCCTTTAACACGGCTAGGTATAAAAAAAGATTTAAACAACATTATATATTAGTGAACTAAAGGCCCAAGTAAGAAAAGTGAAATACCACTTGAAAGGTGCTACTCAATTTTAGGAGTCTGTTTCTAATTATCCACATCCATGGTCTCTTGTAGTATTACAATCTGGAAATTGAATTTGTCTGCATGAAATATTTTTGTCTCAAACAACTTGGACTACCTACGCTGAAATTGAATAGCACATTTTAACAGTGATTAGCAATACACAACGTAAGTTCCCAGACTGACTGTTAGCCGTTTTCAGTCTTCCATACCTCCAGCTAACAGTTTTTCCATTTCTTCTCTCACAACAGGGGATGTCAAGTGAATGGTCAGCGTCAATGGAGGCTCCTGTGTGTTCTTAATGATAATTGCAGCTTCGCTCACAGACTGGATTATTTCATATTTATCTTCAGTAATAGTCTACAATATAATAATTTTACCATTTAGAAATTTTCTCTTGGATTTATGCGTTTCTTCCAAGTGCACAGCACCGCCCTTTCCCTTAAGAGTATCAACAAGCCTCATACGGATGCTATAACTTACTTTTCAGTTTAGTTAGTTTATGAAGTGATATTATAAAATTGTTTGTGGCAAATGACATCCACCTACTTTACAAGGTGTTTCTGTAAAGACAAGGTGGTTCTGTAAAGATATTAACCACATTTTCCCATTCTGTCTTAGTAAGAAGCCTAATAAATATCCCAGTAACCTTCTAGTCCCTTTAATCCATTCACTTGTGTGTGTTCACTGTGACAAGCATACACAATCAAAGGATTTTACTCACAGCAAGCTGTACACCAAGATTCTCAGCTACTTTGTCCAAGAGACCAGTTGTGGGTTTCTCTTTGCACAGGAGAACTAGCTCAAGATCCAAGTCTCCCTTCAGTAGCAGGCCTTTTGCTACAAGCCCAACACGCATCACTCCACGAAGGGTCCTAGTCAAATGCTCGGCAGCCTTCTGATCCCTGTGAAAAATATGTAAATGCAGTTATGGCAGCACAAAAGTCGAAGCCTGAAGTGCACTTAAAGGGACACTTAAATTAACCTAGCTCACAGGACAAAGCAGTAAAGGTTTAGATCCAAAATATGAGCACTACTACTATACACATACAGGAAAATTACTTGAATTCCATGTTTATTTCCTCTGGCTATGGAATGTCAGAATTAGGGAGAAAATGAGAACTAATGTCTTTTCAAGCACTTAAGAACACATTACTATCAGTCTAGAGAAAAAAAATACTACTGAAGCACTTGACAGAGTCCCCATAAAACAGCTGACTAGTAATGTTACTTACCCTCCTTCTTTGTTTTCTTCTTCGGCTGCTGTTTCCATGGCCTCCGGTTCTGGCTGCTCCCCACTGACTTTTTCCTGTTCATCAATCCAGTCAGATACAGCTTTGAGAGCACGTTCTGTATGGGAGACCATGTTCTGAACTGCCTCCAACTCTTCCTGAGTTGGGTAAACAGCAGAATGTTTTGCCATCACATGGCGGTCATCATTCACAAAAATACGCATCGGTCGCTGAAAAGACAAAATTTGATGCAATTTAATAATAGACTAAGAATAATATTTATTTCTGAAAGCTGGAGATTTCAGAGTCTTACCATTTTTGCTTCTGAATCTTTGCTGAAGCTTTCAAAAAGTATTTATTTAACTTCTTCCTCCAAGGAACTACAACCAATACAGCTTTCTATAATCTAAAAACAACAGAAAAATAATTACCAATGATTTGTAGGTGGACTGATAAATCATCTGTCTACTTGGTAAGTACATACCTGTAACTCAAATTTGTTATCAAAGTAATTGGGTGTATAAACTGTGCAGATTAGGACCATATGAACAGTTTATAGCTGACCAAGTATTCTACCCCTGAAGACCAATACCCATAGGCATTGATATAGTAGCTGAACATTAACCCAAATGCAGAATAATGATCAAAATCAAGTTTGCCATACAGACACCATTCTAACATGTATGGATTGCTTTAAAAGTTCTTACTTTGAGAAGAAGGATGAAAACATTCCAGAGCTCATCAAGTGCTACATCAAATATATCTATTTAATAAAGGTTTGACAACCACTACCATACATCCAAGATGTGCAATGCAACATGTGAAATAACTACACAGACCTAAATGTATAATGCCAACCCTATGCTATATTTCATTCAAGAGCACAAAAGGAGTGAGGTTTCATGTTGTCTAAAGACTTAATTATAAGAGTCCAATGGTCTGAGCAAAAAAGACTGCCTGATTTCTAATCCTACCTCTTACACTGTACCCATTGTTGACTTGGGGAAGTGATATAGCCTCCCTCTGCCTAAAACACGCTCTCATTTTCTTTACAAAAAAAATCCACTACACAAGCCCCTCTCTACATTTTAAAGACATGAATTTTTAAGTCCAACCTAACTAAATCCCCAGTTAATGCAAAACTACTTTCCACTAGTGAAGTGGAGCATGAAAAATGGAATCACTGCAAACTTAACTAACTACTGCAGTTTCATGGCAAAAGGAACAACCTGGTGTCCTAGCAGAAAGGATCCTCCAATGCCTGCTCATCCCAGACAGGCCTAAGTGATCACTTGCGATAATCTATTTCCCATACCACCACCTCATCCTACTGCCTACAAGTAAACGGGCAGCCTGTTTCACTATGATGATATATGAGCAAGTATGGTTATGTTCACTGCCTTAACTTTTGTTTTCCTTGTTTCACTATTTGTGTTCTGAGTAGGCATGGCAGAATTCGGGGTTTTTTATACTTCTGACAGATAATACTGATGTCTATTTTTAAGCATTTTTTGTTATTTTTATCAGTTTAAATTTTCACCAGTTGCAGGAAATTACGTGGAGGGTCAAACCATTATTTCATGACAGACGACACTGAGATTCAAAAAATTAAAGCTTTATAACCATTAAAACAAATTGTCAACATCACATGTCAAAATATAAAAAGTAAATATCCTTATAACCAACCCTAATAATTCAAACAACATTTTTCTTAATTTGACTATGTGTAAATTTTAATGTTAACATTTTTTCCATCAGTTTGTGTGTTCAACGAAATCCATGTTTATTGATAAAAATCTAATCCTTCCAGGCCTACCTATGAGGAAATACACTTGTGCAAACTAAACTCTAAGTTAGCTAATTTTTGTGTAGGAATACAAGTGTTTTGATAATTCCCATAACTGTTGTGCTACAGTTGTACAAGAATCTCCATGGAACTACTCATCACCGTTCTGAGGTCATCTTTAGAAACGAACAAAACGCTTTAAAACAGTTTATGCCAGGGGATCTCAAACTGGGGGTCGGGAGGTTATTATATGGGGGGGTCGCAAGCTGTCAGCCTGCACCCCAAACCCTGCTTTGTATCCAGCATTTATAATGGTGTTAAATATATAAAAAAGGCTTGCTATGTGAAAGGGGTCACCAGTACAAAAGTTTGAGAACCACTGGTTTATGCCATAACTGGTTTTTAACTCTGTATCAACTCAAACTTCTACCCCTTTGTTTCTTCATTTGATCACTCTTTAATAGATAGATAGATGGCGGTAAGATTAATCTCCTAAGGATTCATATCTATTCTTTGTGAAAGGCAACACCTTTCCAAGAACGTTTTCAGATGTGCAGGTGACTTTTGGCATGAAGCCCAAAATACAATCTAGCACCAAACTGGCTTTACCCTTCTAGTTTTAAACAGCAGTAAGAATGCAGGAAGCTATGAAATTAGAATATGACAAGAACCAACAGTTTATTGAAATAGAGACAGTAAATCAAAATCAGTTTGAAAATATTTATCTTTAGTAAGTCTCCATGATTTCTCTCTGCAAAATATTACAAGGTCAATTTATCCCACACCCCAAACTCCTAGTTTTCTAATAACTTCAAGGAACTAGATTACCTGTTAGGTGCTGGCTAAAAACATCTAAGCATCCAACATGAAATTCTTACTGAGCTCAAAAAGGTGATGCAAAGTTATCAAGCGTCAGAGCTAATGAATAAATTTGTAAAGGTTTACAACAGAAATTATAGTTGGAGACAAGTGCTGGCAGACCCTTAACTTCAACACCACTACTGGGCTCTGCTTAATTTCAATTAAGATTTTGTCGAACTGTTTTAAATGCATCCATATTAACCTTGTCTGGCATTTCCTACCTACCTCAGATTTACACAGCAATCGTGTCTCAACTGTATTTTACACATCAGAATCAAATACATGTACTTGAATTTCAGCTGTTTGCAAATGAACATACATCTTCACAAAAAGGGGACTAAATTTTAACTTTTATTACATTAAATTACACTGGGATCCATGCAGACAGGTATCTTAGGAGACAGTAAAAAACAAAAACACCCTGATGAGTACTATAAAAATACTTAGCATTGACAATATACTCAGGATGCCATATCACTTTTTCAATAATACTAATTTGCAATTAATCCGGACACATCTTAAATAAATATAAACTATTGTGAGGGGCTAGGAAGAAAAAAACGCTAGCAATGAAGTGGCAAAACACTCAGTATTTTACTAAAGCAGTGCTGCTCTATGTTTTATTAGCTGTATCATCATAGTGCCTAGATCCCCGTCACGGACCAGGACCCCATTGTGCTAGGTGCTGTACCAATACAGAAGGAAAAGGCAGTCCCCCAATCCCACAAAGTAATATCCTATGATGAAGACAACTCACTATCATTAATCCTTTGACACAGCAAGTGGGGAATTTTCACCATGCAGCCTTTTATGATAACATATTAAAAGAAACAGCTAGGGCTGCAATTCTGCAAATATTTACAAACATGACAAACTTTCCTACTGTGAGCAGTCCCATTAGCTCAATGAGACTACCTGCAATAATAAGGATAAGCATGTACGTGTTTGCAGGACTGAAGCCTAGATGTCTCAATTCCAGGATCATTCTTATCCTGTAATACAGAGGTGTGCTGGTATTCTGACACCTTGTCATATGTTAGGAACATATACAAGTCCTAACCTCTCTAATCCCTGTCCGAAGGCCTGAGTTTGGATTCTGAATACTTCTGAAAGTATTTGTACCAATTCTCAAAAATGCCCTCACCTGTTAGCCAAATAGCTACTTAATTTACTAAAAATTACTTTTATATTTATTTGTACCCTGAATATTAATTTTGTAAATAAGTGTTGACAGCCATACATTGATATTTGTTAATGACATCTGTATTGTTCCCTCTCCAAGTGAGATGAGAAATTCTGAATCGTGTCAATAAAAAAAAAAATTAAAGGTCACATCCAGAAAATGCTACAGCAGATTAAACTGAAATTTCCAGTTTTCTAAGACTAATATTATTTATGCACTTAAGATCATAAAAACCCCTTTTTAATGTGAGAATAAGAGCTACTTATGGTTTCTGCAGCATCATAGGATTCAGACCTTGCAGGAAAGGTAACCACAGAATAGGTTAAAAACATTAATTTTACTTATGGTGTGAACTATCGACAATGCTTCACAAAGTTAACATTCAATAAAATGTGGGAAAAGGACTAAAAAAGGTAACACACACACACACTTCGAAATCACATCATGCTCTTTACTATGCTAAAACTTCCTCCTATCATTTCCACTTCATGATTTAACTAATTATTCCAATGCTATAAAGCACTGGGTTCTTGCATTTCAAAGTAATGGCCCAAACTGGCTCATGTGGGTGAAAAGCAAGAGAGTAATCAGAATGCTAAAGGTTTAAAGTTTGGTTTTTTATAAACGTTTCAGAGTAGCAGCTGTGTTACAGTCTGTATCTGCAAAAAGAAAAGGAGGACTTGGGGCACCTTAGAGACTAAATAAACTTGTTAGTCTCTAAGGTGCCACAAGTCCTCCTTTTCTTTTTTGCGTTTTTTATAAAGATACCCCATCTATTCTGTGATATCTTAGCTTGATGAGGAAAAAAATAGTTTCTATTTCTCCATTTATACAGTTTTCTTTTTTAACTTCCTCAATTTGAATAAGACTGGGTACTCCATTTCATTTTTGTTTATGACCAGTTCTGTAGGCTTTCAAGTTCTCATTCACTAACAGGACAGGACACATTTTTGAGCTGTTCAAATCTTGGTCCCAGAACAGCCTGTTTGTGGGAAGATTTACAAAACCTGGCTCAAATGTAAAGAGATGCAGGATGTTAATGGAAAGCAGAGATTTCCAGGTTTTTCAGTAGGTATGCCATTACCAACCTGCGAGTCGTACTTTACATTGAATTCTGAGTTACAGAGAAATCCAGCAGCTCTGAAAACTGGTCAGAAGTAGAACAAAGGAGAAATTTCAGCTACCAGGGAAGCTGTGGGGAGACGAACTCAATGGGACCCAGCCGGATGTTTCCCCATCTCTGCTACATGCCCCTCCGGGCCTGTGCTCTGACGGAGTCACCCTCCCCCACAGCGCTGTTTCACTGCACTGAGAACGGCAGAGATCTGCAGCCTACTGCCAGGATGCAGGCCTCGGGCAGTAGGTGTCTCCTGCCGCACCGGAGAGCGCCTCGGGCAGGCCCCTGCTCCCCCCACCACCCGCAGCAGGGGAGCACTGAGCGAGCGCGGCTCTCTGCCCGGGCTGCCACTGCTGCACGCCGGGGGGCGGCCTACCCGGGATGCGGCGCTCCGCCCTCTGCAGGAGGAGCGGGCGGCCCCGGGACCGCGGGAGGGGGGAAACCCCTGCATCGCGCCGCGCAGGGAGGGAGGGAGGATCGGGCCCCCCACGCGAGGAGCAGCCGCCGCCATTTGCAAAGGCGGCAGCGAGAACAAAGCGGCCCCGAGCAGCGCGTGGAGCCGCGGCCGCCGCGAGACCCCGCACGCGCCACCCCCCCCCCTCCACCCCAAGCCGGGCAGCGCGCGAGGGGGTGAGGGAGGTGCGCGCGCAGCACCCCCCTGTGCGCCCGCGCCGTACCACCCCCCCCCGCTTTTACTCCCGGCCCAACCGCCATCCGCCGCCATTTTGTCTCCACAGCACAATGGGGCGAGCGGAGTGGGGGGCCGGGCCGGGCCCGGGCCCGGGGTGGGGGACCAGGCACCCGCTCGCCTTCAGGCCGGGCAGGAAGGGGCCGCCAGGCCTGGGAGTAGGCCCAGCACCGCCCCCCGCGCGGCCCAGCACCGCCCCCCCTTCCTGCGCCTCAGCGCGGGGAGTCCCTCAGGCCGGGGGCGGCCCCTGCTTCGCCCGGCCCCGCTCCCCGGCTGCTGCCCGGCTCCCCGAGGCCGCACTCACCGGCCGGGCCGTGCCCACCGCCGCCGGCTCCCCACACGGTGCGGTGCGCAGCGCTGTTCGGCTCCGACTGCAGCGAGGGGGGAGGAGCCGGCGGGAGAATGGGGGAGGGGGACCGTCGGGGGGGCAGGGAGGGATCACGTGGGGAGGCCGCCGGGTCCGCTCCCCACCAATCGGCGCGGGACGCCGCTGCGACGTCACCTGCGCGCCCGGCTAGGCTCCGCCTCCTTCGGATCTGCGTCTCGGCGCGCGGCGCCGCGGGCTCAGAACGAGGGGGAAGGTGGCTCGGCGCGCGGGGAACTGGGGCAGGTGCGAGGCGAGGGGGCGGGGCTAGGGGATCGATGGGGAGAGGGGCAGTGTGGGGCGGCCACCCTGATGGCAAGGGAATGCGAGGGGGGCAGGTGTTCTGAGGGGAAGGGGGTCAAGGGGCAGGTGCTCTGAGGGGAAAGGGGCATGGGGGGTAGTGTGGGGAGGCTGCCCTGAAGGGAGAGGGATGTGGGGGGCAGTGTGGGTTGGCTGCTCTGAGGGGAAAGGGGCATGGGGGGGCAGCTGCCCTGAGGGGAAGGTGGCGGGGGACTGGCCTCAGGAGAAGTGGGGGCAAGACATAGTTGCTCTGAGGGGAAAGGGGCATGAGGGGGTAGTGTGGGGAGGCTGCCCTGAAGGGAAGGGGATGTGGGGGGCAGTGTGGGATGGCTGCTCTGAGGGGAAAGGGGATGGGGGGGCAGCTGCCCTGAGGGTATTACAGCCCTCAGGAGACTAAACTGTGATGTGCCACAGGAAGAGAATAGGAGGGAGGGAGGTGTCCCAGTGCCAAAGACCCTTGCCGTGGCAAGAAACTGATTAATTGAGATATATACCCAGACGATCCTGGAAAGCAGTCCACACCCCAAGCCACAGAGGAAGGCAAAAAACCCCCAAAGGTCTCTGCCAATCTGACCTGGGGGAAAATTCTTCCCAAATCCACATATAGCACGCAGTTAGATTCTGAGCATGATGTGAACAAGAACCAGCCAGCTGTAGCCATCACTGATGTTTCTGAGGAAGGAGAGAAACAAAATACAAATACAGAATAGGTTGTGGGGTTGGGCAATCTCTTTCTGACCCCTGCAGATGACCACCTGAAGCATGAGATGTGAGCAGAAAGGATTTTGGGGAGCCTGGCAGCAGCTGTCCATCCTGTCATGAAGGGAGCATGGGAAGGATCACTGGGTGGCTGCTCACCTCACACCTGTTATGAGGTGGGGTATGGAAGGGCTCAGATCTTCTCATTCTCTGCATTTGTGTGCATGCATGTGTGAGGTTCTTACCCTCAGCACAATGAGGAAGGCTCACCTGACAGGACTCAGACTCACCAGTGGCAGCCCCCCTGCCCTCTTTGAGCGTGGATGACTGTATTTCCAAGCTGGAAAAATGGGAACACTTGCCAATTTCTCCAGTGCTCTCTCCCCTCCCTGTCTTGTTACCATTCTCCATCCTTCAGGGTCAGACTTGGGCAGGAGGGGAGAAGTGGTAGCATCCTCCTCCAGCACTGCTCACAGATTGGGGTCCACCCATGAACAAATGCAGTCTGTGACTGCTCTTTGCCTCAGACCTGAAGGTGGTCAGGTGCCCAGTTCTGCACTGCTTACTCAGTTTATTGAAGTCATGTGAGGATTGCAGGATCAAGTCCCTGCTTTGCCAGTCTTGTGAACCTCCCAAACAAGCCATTTCTAGTCAGTTTCCAAGCAAAAGCCAATATTATGCTTGGGTGCATTGTGGCTTTTAAAAATCTGTACATTTCACTTGGAGCAGGTTTCAGACTGTTGGCAAGTTGACAGTGCACATAATAAATAATAACTACAACAGCTCATCCCTTGCTAAAGCAAACCTTGGGTGCGCAGTTCCATTGATATTACTCTCTGAAGAATTCAGTTTATTTGAGAGCCCATGACACTGAAAAAATAACAAGGAGTCCTTGTGGCACCTTAGAGACGAACAAATTTATTTGGGCATAAGCTTTCGTGGATTAGAATCCACTCCATCAGATGCTGAAGTAGCTGCATAGCCATTTCTAATAACTTACAGTTGTGTTACTTGTTAGTTTTAGAGTGCAGACAGACAGCACCTGTAGATTATTATCCTAGTTGGTCTGCGTACACTTATAATTTACTTCATCCATTGTATTGTTTAGATGCAGTCAACAAAACAGGATCTATCTACTGTTGCTGAGAACTCTTCAGTGTAAGGAAGAGGCAGAAAATGTTGTTTGATTTTGGATGGATGGGTGACCCACTGAACAGCCTTTGTTTGGGGAGCACAATTGAGAGAAGAGATCTGAGGTTTTACCAGAGTAGCACATATAGAGAAGAAGGTAGTAAGTGCCTTTCGGTTCGGTGCTATGGTAGGAGAATTTTTGGTTTGGTTTCTTTGCATTTGCTATGTCAAAGTATCAAAGTGAAAGGGAGGCTGTAACTGTAGGGAAGAAGAAAATGTTGCACTGTTTGTGGAAAATATTGTGGAAGTGTCTAGAAATTTGCCAAGATTTATTTGTAACTCCTTAGGATGATTTTGAGTGACCCAAGTTCCTGGGGATGAGTGCAAATGTCTCCTTAAAATGTCGAGAAACAACAGCCACTGATGGCTATTAGCAACCTTGGAATCCCAGTCTTTGATCCAGACTCAGGGAATGTCTACAGTGTAGTCAGAGGTGTGATTACAGCTCAGGTAGGCATACCTGTACTAGCTGTAACCTAGCTAGCACAACTCAAAATAATAGCAAAGCTGTAGCATCATGGGCCTCAGTGCAGGCTAGCAACATAATGTAATCAAGATCCCAGGTGGGCTTGTACAGCCCATGCCACTGCATCTTTACTATTTTTAGCCATGCCAGCTAGATAGAAGGTGTAATATGTAGACTGCTAGACAGCGTTTTTACCACTGTCATCTACCTCAGCAGTCTGGACAACTCATTGGTAAAGACACAAAGCAGCTCCTCCACACAAGTGCTCCCTGTGTTGCTAGCATAAGTGCTGGACCAATGGTGGAGGAACTCCCTAAAATGACCTGTTTAGATAAGGCCAAGGAGTCTGATTCTCTCTCTACTGTATTTAATCTGGTCCAGGCCTTGGTCTTGCTGTGTCCTCCCTTTCCCGCATTGAAAATTTGGACATTTGGCAGAATTCAGTCAAACACCCTTCTGTATGTGGTAGAATGTTACTCTGTTATGACAGCAATGCTGATTTGTTCACCTACCTTGTCAGAGAGAGAAGAAATGAAAGTAGTGAAGAGATTTCAGTAGACTATTTGTCATGACAGTGTAATCTGGCTAAGGATTAGCCACACAAATCAGAATGATCCATTCGGAAGAAAGCCAAGCTTCAGTCCAAGTAGGCACTTTATTTGTGGTTGGAATGCTGACATTGATATAATGGAATATCACATATACATTGGAAATATACACATACATCCCCACTCAAGGTTGTTGGTTTTTATTTTATTTTGCATAAAAGGCCTCCCTGCGTAGAGTGAGCATCTTTGGGAAATCAAAGGAAGGGACAGTTATCACAACAACATAGAAGGGCCAATCCTGCAGTCTTTGTACAGGCAAAATACCATTGCAGGATCAGCCCTGAAGGATCCAGGGAAGGAAATGGAACATGAGTGGTTTACAGGGACATAAAGGGGTATTTTAAAGGCAGTCGGAGACAGTTGTTCTTAAAGGTAAGATAAGCAGTTATGGCTTTAAGATGCAGCTCAGGTAGGTAGAGAAAAAAGCTTCTAATCACACAGTCAATTGAGTAACAGAAACAGGCTTCCATAAGGAGATAGAGAGAATCACCAAGTCACAGCATAACAATCAATCACTGGAGTTCATTTTGGGGCATTAGCATCCCGCCACGCAGTGTGCATGTGTAAATGTACTAGACTGTCTTTCCAGTCTGAGTGATATGGCAACAACATTAATATTCTGAACAGCTCCTTAATAAAAGATATGTCCCTTTGCTGCAGAAGGCAGGGCCCCGCCAATGTTTATCTACTTCACCAGGATAAATAAAGAAGCATGTTCATTATAGTACAGTGTGGGTGTAGTTGTCATCTTTAAAAAGGGGGAAGAGGCTACATTACAATTATATCAAGACTATGAAGGCAGAGAGAGGGCTGGTTTCTGGTATTCAATCTGAATTCCGTTAGGGTATTTAACTAGGACTTCCTCCCCATCCTGTTCCTTAAATTCCATAGTTTCTTATACTACAACTGAGTCTGCAGAATACATCCCAAGCCAAAGCAATGGTTTCTGCGGGAACTATGCTTCCTCATCAACTCTTGTATGCCTGAAAATACAAATCTTTCCATAGTGACTTAAAATGAGCCATCTTATGAGAAAAATATCCTAATAACAGAAAGGCCCTGAAACCCCCTTTGCTGTTGGTCCTTCTGGGCACCTGCTATTTTAGAACTTTATTTCTACAGCAACCAAAATGATTCTATTAGAAAGATAATTAGCAGTTGAGCTGGAGAAACAAGCAGCAGAAATAGACCACCCACAGAGCCTGTCCTTGTGCAAATATCCCTAGCAGTAAAAACAAAACAAAAGACTGTGGAAGAGATGAAAAAGAGCAATAGATGAGCAGAATAATCTTGCACAAAACATTTTGCGAACATTTTCCATTAGATGCCAGTAAATCAAATCTGTAGTTTTGTTTCTGTAACCACTCCCGCCCCCTTACCTAGGTGACCATCTGTCCTTTTGAACATCCCGTATCTGGTGCTTACTATCCCACAGCCCATCTCTGGTAAGTAGCATTTGATCAGGTAATAATCATGCAAAGGATCATGCACTATAAGTCTAGGATTTTGTGACACGAATAAAAAATTGGGGATGAAATAGGGGAAAAGCTGGTTTTTATTTCCTAGAAATGCAGTTGGTCACCCTACCTTTATGATTAGTTTAAAAAAAGTGGCACTGTAAATATGTGATGCGTAACAGGACATACAAAGTTCGGACAGGGTTATATTTTAAAATGGGATGGGGATTCTAAAGGAATCACCAGGAGTTTATGTAAGGGTAGAGTAAGAAATCCTTTAAAGTAGTTTCTGTGGACATTTTTGGTATATATAGCCCCATGGAAGGGATTACTAGCTGTCAGGCACAGGTAGATGATGCCAGGTTTGGAGACTCCACAGCACACAGATTATCTATGTAACAGGCTGTAGTTTTTTCAAAGAGGTGAAGTTTAGCCAATGAGTCATTGATGAGGCAACTCCTGCTTACCAAGCTCAGGTGGGTTTTTTTTTCCTATTCGATATAGGTTCTTATACTGCGCCCTCATCCCTGTAGCATCTGAGCATCTTCCAGTAGTGAGTTAAGTGACAGAACAAATCACATATAACAGATATTACTTATTTCTCTCAACCTCTCCGCGGAGGGAGAGCAATGGGTGCAGTACAGTGTTTTGGTATGGTTTGTTTTGGGGCCGTTTTGGTTTTTTGGTCAGCGATCTGGCAAGTCTCAGTCATATTTTCTTATATCACAGTGTTGAAGAATAATTTGTCCTATCTACACTAGCAGAGCTTTTCCCTCACCAATTCAAGGGGACTGGTTACCCCCTGCTATTGTCAGCAACAGATCAGCTTCCTAATATAGATGCTGCTTCTGAGACCCAGTGGTCCAAAAGACAGTTCTAGGAATATGAAACTCCTAAGTTCCAGTCCAAAGTTCTGATACCAACTCCCAGTGGAAGCTTTGGGCAAGGTCACAGCACATCTCTGCCACAGTTTCCCCAATGATAAAGTAGGGATAATACCTGCCTAACAGGACTTTGGGAGGATTAATGCATTTGACAAGTGTTTTGAACTTGTAAAGTTCTAAGTATTAAATGAACAGCAACATTGCAAAAGCATGTGAGTCTTTTCCATTGGAGAGTGGTTTAGAAGAGTAGCTAGAGCTGCCTCTGCAAACTCAACAACTTGGTCATTTTTATTTGCTTATTTAAAACCAAAGCAAAATGTCCAAAGTAACTGGTTTTCATTATAAACACCAACCTTTCAAACGTGCAAAGCTGATAATCAGTTGGAGAGAAAGAAAACTTAACAAAAGATTTTATACATATATATTTTAAAAATCCATCACAAATTTACAGCTGTAATGCTGCACATCTATGCTGTGCTCCAGGCTCATGTGACTTTATGGCTAAGGGGCTGTACCAGTACCTAAGACCTCTGTTGAACGAAAGAAGCAACGTTGACCAATAACAATACTGGAACTCGTGGGTACAACTAATAAAAACAAAAATGTACAAAACCAAAAAACCCTTTAATATTTCAGATAATAAAACAATTCTCATATCTTACAAAAAATACTACAGGCTCAAAAGGTTACTAGAAATAGGTATAAAAAAAGTAAAATATAACCTTTAGCACAAATTAAATGCTACAAATTAACTGGCCAAATTAACATATTTGGAATAAAGAGTTCCTTTTTGTTTAAAAAAATAAAGAGTCCAGATAACCTCACAATGCCTCTTTACACCTCTGTGTTCCTGCATTATTTGGAAGCTGTAAACCATCCAAATAGCCCCATTTCAAGTTGTTTAAGCAGATTAAAAATAATAAATGAAGTCATGAGGTTGACCACCTTTCCTATCCCCAAGAGGGCCCCATCTACATTAGTGAAAATAGAGTAATTCACAAATAGTGGTAGCAAGGGTGGATGCTCTAGTGCAGCCTGAGGCCTGTCCTTTTTCCCCACCATCCTGGCCAACCCTGCTCACTGGTAAAAAAAAAAAAAAAAAAACTGAGTCCTGTCTGCTCTGCAGCTTTTACTGTTGCTACCGGAGGCAGAGTTGCACCTGTGGTACATTATCAGTTTTGCCAACATTGGACACAGTCAGAGAGATGACCATTTAAAGGAAACTACAGTGATTCTTAACATGCCTGATAACTTAATTTGCAACACTGGGCTTTCTGATGTTCAGTGGCATTCTAGTCTCGCTTTTTCTCTCACACACATTGCTGGTGTTTCTCTAGGTGAAAGCTGCCCTTGGACTGGAACTTCCCAGCAGGCTCCCCCATCAGATGGTGGCTTTCAAAACTGTGAGGCAAGTTTGTTTGTTTGACCCTTTGGTTTGTTTCACCACAGTTAACAATACTTTTCCATTAGCCAGCTCTTTTTATGTATATATATATATACACATATATATAAAGCAACAATGAGCATCCTTTCTTTCCCATGCATTCAAATGGGTTTTTGCATATAATGCTGGATTTTTCCAATAAATCAAAACATGTTAAAGGTACAGAAGCAGCACACTCCTGGACTGTCAATCTCACTGAAGAGACAAAACAAATGACATAGAGCTTTCATCAGTAATACTAATGACTATCCAGACATGCACATTCCCTACCAGTGCTTATCTGAGTATTTTGCATTTCCTCTGCTGTTCAAGTTCTACAGCTTGATTAACATTGCAGGTTTCTCTTCTGTCCCTGCCATCATCCATGAAGACAAGGCATTAATAGGTGCGTTCCTCAATCAATGAAGGTATTTAATGTGTCCAACATGGTAGTATCTGAGTGCAGTCAAGTATGTTAGTGATGTTCTAGCGAGCTAATGGAGGAGGTAATGGTCTAGCTTTACTGGTGTGACAGATTTAGTAGTTTTATTTTAAAATTCAATTTGGTGTCTGTGAATCTGTGATTGGTGCTGGCTTTACAATCCTGTAGACTGAATTCAGTCTCTGGAATAGATGGAGATGGACAAAGGCAGGGCAAGTTAACCTTACATCAGTGGGCCTCAGCTGAAAACTGACCAATTCATTTCTTCGATTCTCTCCTGAGACCAACAAGGTCCCAGTAGCGCTGGGTTCTGCAGTAGTGGATACCTGTCCACTAAGGCAGTGGGCTCAGTTTTTACTTAGCAATGCCTAACAATCTTAAGTAGAACTATTGACACTAATTCCTTCTCTCTATCTGAGGAAGGAAAATCCTGCAAAATGCTCTCCAGAAACAATTTCCACTGCTCTGGACAAGCTTGTGGCCAATGCACAGGCTGACAGCCAAAGCCGTCCATCTTAATTTGAGTAAAGGATACTGCAGTTCACAAAGTACTAACAAGGTTTGCATATTGGACTAATAGCACTTAATGCTGCATATTATTATTTGCTCCTGAAATAGAAACGGGGAAGGGACAAATAGAAGTGAAGAGGGCAGTGAGTAAAGAGGAAGCTGCTATGCATCCGAGTGACCTTTGTTTGTCTTGTTCAGAAGTTTTTTCAGGTCAGATGACATGAAGTAAGGCTTTTCGGATGAACCATCGTTACGCTCCAGGTCTTCCACTGCAAGGGGGGAGAGGGTTAAAAACACAGAACTTAAGTACTGCAGGGTTGTAAACACCTCAAACTAGAACCAGTTACTGGGCTTGCCAAGCCTCTTAGGGATAAATTTGGCGGTGCTCTTACATCTACATGCACAACCTTCTCATGATTCAGACTAAGTTGGATGCTCAGGAAAGTGGCTGCAGTCCATGTGATGGTCATAGAAGGTGCAATAAGGAGTCTAGAGACAAACAAGTGCTAAAAGAGCAGATGTAATACTCATCCGTTAAATACCCAGTTGAGATGCGAATGCCCTTCTGCTTCTCACAGGCAGTGCATGTGTGTGTATTCTCTCTTTCTTCTAAAGCCGTTGCTGTATGTAGCTTCCAAATGTAAGCCAGAATTATACTTGTACCGCTCCCATTTTAAAGACAGAGTATTGGACTCCTGAAGGGAGGCTGTTTATCAACATCTGTTTGGAACAGGGAGTCTAAAGTGTTAGGTTACAAATCAGCTAAGACAGAGGCTCCTCCTATATGAACAGAACAGGTTGCTCAATAGTACCATTGCCTGGAAATACAGAGATTACCATTACTTGGGGATAGTGTGGAAAGACAATGCTCACTCATTGTTCTTCAGTGTAGTGTAACTGCTCATGACTTGACTGTAAAGCAAGTCACTTGTTATTTGTTTGGCACAGTTCACCTAGTGTACAACACCCCTGTCAACATACAGTACATACATAATACTTAGGCATGTCCGTGGCACAGAATATATTTTTCAGATGCTAGCTGTTCAAAGCAGAGCAGCAGCTCCAGCAAAAGCCATAGGAGAATAGCAGCCAAAATCACAGAGACCATTAGCTTCATAGTTTAGTGAAACAGTCCTGGAATATTTTGAGGGTGATGGCATAGTGATGGCATGAGTATCGAAACCCAGCAACTTTTTCCTAGAAGGATAAGACTCAAAATATGGAAACCTTATTTTGATGGGAATTTGTAATGCAAGATTTGGCAGTGTTCACAGAATTGAGTCCCCAACCAAGAGACTCTTAATCAATCAATCAAAATAAGACAACAAACCCCATGCAACATCCTTCTCGTCCTTGATATAGTAAGGAGAAAATAAGGTGAAGATCCATGGGGTATTTGCGGGCATATGTTTTAGATGCCGAAAACTTTAAAAATTGGCCATCTGTCAAACCTCTCTAGATTCAGTTGTATTATTTCTGTCCACCATCGTGCTGAAACACCTCCCAGATGTAATATCTGCCATTTTCTCTTGCTCTTCTAGTCATTAACACTGGGTACATAATCACAGATTCTTGTGGCATCTAGACTTGATGGATGGTCTAGTGGCTAAAGGGAAATCACAGTAGCTACTTAGGGCATCCCTTTCTGTACTATGTAGCTCAGCTTCCGACACCGACAGTCAGTTATCTTCTGCCCGACTGTCCTGACTGCACTGGGCTGTAAGCTAAGAAGGTGCCCAGATCTTATTTGAGATGCCTGGAGGCTATAACCCTGCTTTACCCCCTCCATCTAGCGCTCTCACTGAAAAGTGGGACAAATGTTAGCTGAACTACCTCAGGAATGAGCAGTATTCTGTGAGCCGGTTACCACAAAGATCCACCATCTTCCATTTAGTTACTAGTTAAGCGAGTAGCCAGCCAGGAAGTGGGAGACAGACTGAAATAATTCTATACAAGTCAAGGTGTACATACAAGTGAAAAGATCAATTAGATTTTTCAATTTAAAAAAAAATTATAAAAAAAAAATCCTGCCAACTTGTTCATTCCCCCAAAATAACCTTTCTGAAGAGTCAGCATGAGAAAACAGCAACTACAAGTTTCCTACTTTAAACAGAGAGAATTCCACTTTGGGACACAAAGGTTTCCAGGACCCTCGTGGACACAACGGGTTTGAAAGTGAAGGATATGCCACCTAGTAAAGAAAACTTCAGGTCTGCCAGCTTGATTTTGCATAGAAAGAGTAGTGAGAAAAGTAGTTAATTTCTCTTTGCAGCTAGCTGGAGGCTGAGCAATAAAGAGGAAAATATAGTTCCATCCAGAACAGATTGACACATGGGCAGCTGTAAACCTCTTGATCATTCTACAAATTAGTATCTCATCAACTGCAAAGAGAAACAGCTCCCCCGCAAACCGAGCATAGAACGGGACAAAGCAAAAGTGAGTCAATTTGTAAGGAACATTCCAGAAGTAGCTACAATGCCCCTTTCATTATAGGCAATTGAGAGTAGAGGAGGATGCAAGTTAATTTTTTTTAATAAGTGAGATATACACTATCCTGTGTATATATAAAGCCAAATTTGGCCTCTGTGGAGGCAGAGTCTTGTTAGTTAGGTTAGCAAAATGTTACCTATCATGCATTAATGGAGGAGATGATTGTGTCAAATGCACAAGAATCCCAATTGCAGTTCCACCCATTTTGGTACAAGAATATCAGTTAGGGGGAAGAAACATAGATTTGATACAGCATTCACCCACTTGCACGGTCCTTCCAAAATCAACACCTCCTCTACCCTCAAGAATTCCAAGGACAAGCAGCTGAAAATCATGCACCACCAGGGTGGACCCTTGGAATAATGCCACACAGTTACAGATTGGCTGGGGGAGCACAAGTCTTCTACAAGACACCCACATGTGCTAGCCCTCCCTGTTCAGAAAGTTGAGCCCTATCCTTGGCTATCAGCACTTTTGGATGATTCTAGGCTCCCCTTCAGCAGGATTTCACTCAGCTCTGGGGACATGTAGTAAGGTCGCTCAGGAGATCCATCATTCCTCTCCAGGTCTTCACCTTTTCGCAACCCCAGGAAGATGAAGGAAGCGGCCACGGAAAGGAGGAATGAGAAGCAGTGGAGGAGCAAGGGGAGCAGCACAGCAAAAACAAGAGAGAAGGACGACAGAGGGAGAGAAAAAAAGAAGGAAAAACTCACATTAGTTGCAATTAGATTCTACCACCGAGATCAAAGCACCAAGAAATTTAGAGAGACTAAAACAGATTACAGAGAGTCTACTCTTGGGCTACAAATTTCTTTTGCTACCAAGCAAGGTGTACAGGAGCTGCTTGTTAGAGTAGTGATGGGGGTGGTGAACAGAGAGAAGCAGAAGAGAACTTCAGAGTTTTAGAAATGATAGAAGGAGTTAGCTTTCAGGGGTTCTTCCATCCGTCTCATTTTATTCAGGGTTTTAAATCACTGATGCAGAGTTGGTGCATGTGCATTTCTGTACGCAGTTCTTAGGGGAAATTTTGAAAACTTGTACTTCTAAATCCTCTGGCATTTTTGAAAGATTTGCCCACGTGCTCCAAGCCCTGGGCACATCCTTCCCATTGCAGCCCATGCACAAAAGGCAGCATTTGAGAGGACTGGAGCTGTGATGCAGAAGGCAGAGGAAAGCTGGCGGTTTGCAAGTGCCCATAACAGTCTTTAATGGTAATGAGAAGTATGGGGAAGCCCTAGACTAAGGAAAAAATTATGACACCTCAGTTCTAGGGAAGGGGAGGATGGAGATTGGAGGGTCCCTTTGTGGTGTGCTGCCCTCTTTTATAAGCAGAAGCCATGTCGGTGGAAGTAGTTCAGTAGAGCAGAAGCAAACTATGAAGTGACAAGTAGTGAAAGAAAGGCCGCGTAAGTCAAACACAACAGAACAGTTCCACAGGCCAGCCGTCTGGGATGACAGAGGTATAGCTACAAAGTAATACTCAACTGAGCACCAAAATCCCTGAGGCCCAGTTACTTACAGAAGCAGAGGAAGAGGGTATCCACACACATGGCATAGACGCTGAAGAATCCATGTGCAATGAGATAGGAGCCCACAATCACAGTCTGTAAGAGAAACCGGGTTGTCACCTCAATGCCAAACCTAATTATTTTGGGGAAGTTCTCTGCCCTGTGTTAGGAGGTCACAGTGATCCCTTCTGGTCTTGAAATCGATAACCTGATACCAGTATAGAGAGCAAAAGCTCTGTTCCTTGAAAGAGAGAAAAGACGTGCTGAACTCCACGCACAGTTCCCCCTTCCATTTCCATAGGAAAAGAGAAACAGCCCTGCCCAACCTGATTCAGACACATGGAGGCTCAAGCAGCACCAGCAAATGGAAGCTGGCCAGGCTTGGCTCAGTGCAGCCGCCTGGAAGTGCCTATGGGGAGATGTGCTTCTGCATTAATTGGCTGACTCTGCAGAGAAGCCAAGGTTTGAATGGGAAACTGAGAATGAGCTCTCCTTGCTCTACAAAGAGGGACTCCTGGAGGACAGTGAGTAGGGGAAGCTTTCTCTGCTCAAGCTGCACACGTTCTGGAGAAAGGCTAATGTCCCTAAATTCATTGTAAGGCAAGTAAGATACCCACCAGAATAGGGACCCAATAGTAATTGAGAGGAGGTGCAGTGTCCTGAACCAGTTTTATCCGCTGAGTGAAGAAGAAAAAGGCAAGGATTCCTAGAGAGGAGAAAATAATAATACAGATGTTTGTGAGATGCACTAGTTACAAGCAAGAAAGGGCAGCATTATAGGGGGCTGACGGGGGAGGAGGAAGGTGAATTTAGAGACCTAGTAGGGGAATTATGGACAAGAAGTTGGTTCCTGGAATGGCTGGGGAGATTTGCAAGGAGTTGAGAAGATGCAAAGACATGCAGCTTTCACCAGTCTTTCTACAACAGCAGGGTTCAGGGGGAGGGGCTGTAATCAAAGTAAGCCCTGGAAGAGGACTGAGATCCCAAACTTACCAACACTTCCCACGATGAGGAGTTTACCAAGGAAGAGCAGAAAATCTGTGACTTTATCTAAAACAGCCACCCTGAAAACAGAGAGATGTGAATGTCTTTCCATACCCACCAGGATGGGGGGGGGGAAGAGGCAAAGTGCATCCAGGCTCCCCCAGGGGCTCTGTGATAAAGACAACCCAGGATAAGAGTCGCTAAAGACACAATGGTTTGTGCAAACCTAGAGCCAGTTTGCATTTCCCACCTGATATGTGGCAGATAAACAGACCTTGAATCTCCATAGTGAGAGTCAGTTGTTGACCTCTGAAATGGTTTCAGCTACTCTGGCCAAGCCTGGTAAATAGCAGCCCTGGGGAAGAGGAGCCATTTCCTTGTTGGGTAGTCTTAGAGGAGGGAGGATTCCATCAGTTTCCAGGTTCTTACCTGATAATGTTCCTCATGAGTAGGAAGAACGCATTCTTGGCTGAAGTGCAGAAGTTGGTGCCATAGATGGCAATCTGGGACAGATCACAAAGGAGGACACAGAGAAGAAATGGGGTTACTCAGTAGGCATCATGGTCTTTTCCAGAAGATTTTGCCCTGAAGCCTAAAGATTGTCAACAAACTGTCACTGTACAGGTTAGTCATTCAGAGCCGCATTAGGGTAAAGAGACCCACCTCCTCTCCTCCTCCGCCCCCCCCCTTTCACCACAGTGCCAGGGCAGAATGTGCCAAGCGGCCGTTCTGTCTGAAGCCTGTGCCATCTCTCACTAGTACACAGGACAGATCTGATCTGCTGATACTGTGTACACTGCTGGATGTTGGGTCACTCACATAAGACAGCCAATGCCTCTTAAGACCTAAATGAGATCGTCATGGAGCTAGGGGAAGCCAACCATTGATGGGGTGGGAAGGAGTGTTCAGAAGCAGTCCCTTTTTGAGAATCTCCAAATCCCCATTCACTGGATGTTTGGTGGCATTCTTAAACTAGGGTCCTCACCATGATGTATGCGTTCCTGTTCAGGAACTTGATAAATTTTTCCAGGCACCAGAAGCAGCATTTGAGACAGGTCAGCAGGAACTTGGCAAACTTATTCTCAGCAGCTAAAAGCACAAGAGACACAGTGGAAAGAGTGTGGAGCAGAAGAGAAAGTTGTTCTTTGAAACAGCAACTCTTCAAGTATCAAAAATCTCAGCACCAGACACCTCGCTCTCTGCAACACATCTCTCCAACCCCGATCCTGTGCACAGTTCCCACCCATATCTGTTCTCCAGCCGTTTCTGTTTGCTCCTTTCAGCTTAAGCCTATGTCACAGCACCATCACTTTGGCAGATGGAGCTGGCAGCTACCTTCTCTTGCACAGCTACTTTCAGGAAACATAAACCAATTTTCTTTTTTAGCCATCCACTATCAAAAGCATCCTCAGAGAAGAAGCAAGCAGCAGTCCCTCACTTCATCCTGAGCATCCGATGAGAGTTTTAGGTTGGGTATTCCAGTTAGCCACAGCCATCACGCCAGCGGGAGCACTGGGATTTTAGTACTCTCATCTGGAGTGAGAGCCCTACCCACTGGACTGTACTACTCCTGTGGACAGAGAGGATACTCTGGAGAATCGTACGGGGGAAAGGTCTCGTGTGTCGCTCTTGTGCTTTAATTCACGGTCACTGAGGTCATTTGGTTAGAACAGGACTGTAACAGGGTATCAAGTGCAGTTCTGCACAGAGGTCCAGAGCCATTCTACTGACTCACTGCCAATCAGACCAGCTGGGTTAGTGCCTACCCAAGAGGAGTATGTAAGGTCTCTCTACTCACAAAGGCAGAAAGATCTAGAGAAGAGTGGGTCTGACAGAGAAAGCCTTTAGGAACAGCTAGGCTCAGAAGGAAGCACAGAGTAGTACCTATGTTTAAATTCAGTAATAAGATACAAAGATAAAGGAAAAGGGCAATTTTGGAGTAGAACAGGAACACCATCTGCTTACACGGACCAAATTATTCTGAGTTGTGACTCGACATGGAGAAACTTTGCTCACCTTGTTTGTCCCTCCACCTGCCCTTTCCCAAACTATCCTCAACTGGGTACCTTTCAGCCTGTGATCCAGATACTCCAGAAGGACCCTGATGATCTGGACAATGGCAAGAATCAGAGACCCAAAGGCCAATGAGCCAGTGTGATACCTGCCACGGGGAAGAGGGCCTTGATTAGATGCAGCTTCTTGGCATTTTTGCTTTTACATTATTTCTCCTGTAGCCAACAAGAAAACCCACACCCCTCTTTGGAAAAGCTCCAGTGCTCACCTGAGTGCCCGGCCGAAGGAAGAGAAGAGGGGAAAAGCCGGCATGTCATCAGGTTTCTTGAAGGCCCAATAGTAGGAAGCAAAGGCTCCGGCTAGCGTGACCTGGCCCAGCGCAATCACAAAGTTGGCCAGCCAGAAGAACATAAAGGCATTATAGATCTGGAAGACGATGAGGTATTTATGGTAGGCTGTCTCGCCCCCATAGAAAGCAAAGAGGCAGCGGGCATCTGGGCACTGCTTGGTGATGTTGGTCATATTGAATGTCTAGAGAGAATTAGAGACGCTCAGATACTGCAGAGATGAGGACCACACAAGAACCTAGATAGACAGTAGTTCTCGCCAACCCAAAAGCCACTTCTGGAGTTTGAGTCCAGGAAATTATTCTTCTCTTCTCATACACCATGTTCAATCCCACAAGCAGTTGCATTTCAGATGGGTAAAAGAACTTGTCTACACACACTACTCACTGAGCCCCTGGGAGTACTGTGAAGATCTCTGGTGCCTCAACATCACAAGGATGAGGGGTAAAGGCATGAACTAAGCTCAAGGCTGGGAGTCAGGAACTTCCAAGTTCTAATTCTTATTCAGACACAGGACTTCCTTTGCAACCTCAGCCAAGTATGTGCCTCAGTTTCTCCTCTGGAAAATGGGAATATATACATTTCCCACTCTCGAGGGGCTTGGAGAGGGAGAGGGTTAAGTATACACAGTGGTTAAAGGAGGATTCTGAGGAGGAGGAGAGCAATCAACAGATACGAAGAGTGTAAACATGAACAAAGGGCGGTGAGGGGAGGGTATAGTTTAGCTAGCCTGAGAGACTGTCACAGCAAATAGGAGCCATATGGTACTCCCAGGGATGGAGGCTACAGTAGCCGCCAAATTGGCTTTTGCACAATATGTCTGCTCAAGAGACTAATCTTATTAAGTCCAACATGTTCAGTTGTGACTATTCAGAGAGCCCCTCACCTCTGGTATGCAGGTCTGCCCAGCGTAATCACAGTTAGACTCGTTAAACACCTTGTAGACAGCCTCATTAGAAGTAGATAAAAAACTGGGAAGAAGCAGTTAAGGGGATTCAACTTTAAGGAGACTGGACCCAATTCTCTATCTGTCCCACACAGACCTGCTCTTACCGTCCTGTTTATCACCCTTTTTTTTTTATTATTTAATCATGAGACTGGATACATGTAAGTAAATAATCCCACAACATTTCTAGCCTTCTGAGAGATGTGTGATTTCTGCCCCCACCACACCAGGGGTTCTTTGCGGGTGGAGGAGAGAGGAAGATGGAAGGATACACAGCGGTGCTGGCCCAGTAAGCAATGCAGAGACACACCAGGAAGAAGGTGCACAGAGGAAACACCAGCGACATCATGATATGACCAACAGCCCTGCCAGGGAAGAGAGAGTCAGTAAAAACAACAAAAATCCTCTCATTGCAAAGGAAATCCAAACAGATGGAGTAGAAACCATCCACAGACAGCAGCTTGCTTTGCATAGGCCCCAAACCTCCCACCACAGGTTTGGAATTGTGACTGTGCAGCCATCTCTATCATGGGCCAGAGGGGGAAACTTGGCTTGTGGGTTAGACCCAGCAAGAGTTGGTCTTCGCCATTCCCCCTAAGCGAGTACAGCACTCTCTATTGCATGCGGCTGCTGCAGTCCACACAAAGCTCACCTGCTGGCTTCCTTGATGAGCGCAATGGCAATAAGGATCCTCTTGCGGAGGAAGATGAGTAACAGGATGATGATCACCTCTATGATGCACAGGATAATCACTGAAAGAGAGAGGGGAAAACTGGAGTCGTACCATGATCAGAGCTCTGGATGCCAGCAGTTTCTTTGTTGTAGGATCCTACAATGCTGGCCCCTAGATATGAGAGCAGCACACCTTGAAAAGACCACCTCTTCTTCCACAGAGTCCTAAGGAAACCCACCAACTTTGGGTTGGGGGTAGCATTACCACTAATACACCTGGGTTTAAACTCTCCAGAGGTTATGAGCATAGATATCCTCTGTAGGGGACGGTCTACATTTTTTTCCAAAGAATTGACCAGGCAGTTGTGTGACGTGATTGTCCTCCTTAGACGTTGGCTTCTGAAGGAGTTCTCCCTTCTTTCCAGTTCCCAGGCGTCCAGGTTGCAAGAGGGACAAAAACTGGTGGCCTTCTCAGCAGCCTCAGCAAAAAGTCAGAGGACTGAAGGGCCATGGAGGATGAACTCTCTTCCCTTCACATCCCCAGAGGAGCTTGGGAAAAAGGCACATGTCCTGCCACTGCCCATGCTGATGGGCCTGTTGTGGAGATTGAGGATTCCTGTCTCCAGGAGCAGTCAGTCCAGCACTGAAATTCACATCCTCCCCAGCCAGGCATTTCTGCCTTTCGGATGCAGCCATGAACACAGTCCCATGATTGGGACATCACATATGGAGGTACATGAGTTCTTGCTGTGCCCCCCTCTAAGACCACCATCTCCTATTCTTGCAGGACAGCGGGACCTATAACCTTCATGATGTCTTATTTTCTAGCCTCTTCCTCCAAACAAACAAGCACAAGAGATGAGCATACAGGAGCGCTTGTTGTCCCACAGCCCCATGTTTGTTTGCATTGCACCAGGCCCAGTAGAGCAGAAGAGAGACTTACTGAAGGCCAACCACGTTTGCTTCAGGTGGAGATAGACATGCAGATCAGTCTGGAATCCCAGGTCCTTCAGGGAGACATCAGAGCCTGCTTCTCCTTTTAGTCGGGCGTATTCCATGTAACAGTGGAAGATTCCTGCAGTGGAAAGCAGAGATTTGACTGCCTTAGAGTAAAACTGTTAGCCTCTGATTAACCTCATGCTCAGAGTATCTGCTACCCAGCGGGAACTATCCTTAAAAGGAGACCGTGGGGAGGGTCTGTCAGCTCTTTGGGATGCAAGAACGAGGAGGCTTCAGTAAATGCATACCTACAGGAGCAACTGCTGTCTAACCATTCAGGGAGCTCTAGGCAAAGAGACAAATGATAACTGGAGAGGGCCTCTGGCCCCAGCCCCATACAAGCTAGGGTTAAGCGACAGACCAAAAGATGGCAGCCAGTTTAGTCAGGTCTCCCCTCCCAGCAGATGTTCATGTGTGTTCCCACCCTGGTCTACACAAAAGGTACATGCTGGATATGGTCCAAACTTGCCTTCTTCCTGGAGCTTACTTAATTTTTATTGTTAATGTAAACAAACTTCTGACTAAGGTTGGCTGTTCCTCAGCTTTTCCTTGCGAAACTCCCTGTCCCTCTGCCTCAGAGAGGGATATTCCCATCCCCTCTTGTATCCTGGGTTGGAAATAATAGGATCCACCTGCTAGCATAAGTCAGTGGAAATAACTGCATCTTTAGCCAGAAGAGCCCTGCAACCCTGCTGCAGTATCGCAGTGAAACAGAAGAGACTGGAACACAGACTGAGCGGCTGTGACCTAAGTCACTAAACCAATCTCAGATAGTTCTGCAGGGTGAATGCAAGGAGAGAATCCCTGGAGCCAGCCTCATGTCAGAGACCCTAGGCTCAACAGCCACTCACCATATCCAAGCACCAAGATCACCAGCACAATCATAACCCAGATCATGATCCCAGCAAGGAAGCGAAGCAGGACAATGAAGATGAAGCTGATCACCAAGGCAATCACTAGACCTCTGTGGAGGGGAGAGAGTGGCAAGTTCATGAGCACAGAACCACATGCAGAAACAAGCCCATGTCAGAGCGTCCCATTTTCTGTGCCCTGCAGCTTTGTTCCATTAACTGATTTAGTCTCTCGTTTTTTCCTGTGAACTTTAACAACAGTGGAAGGTGCTAAGTTGGCAGCCGTACTGATGGAAGTCCTCTGTCCCCAGAGCAGATGCAACACAAGCAGCATCAGAGCAAACTTTCCCCTAAACTGCCTTCTCTGTGTCTCTCAATCCTGGAGGAGGGGGGAAGAGGTCAGTCCCCCAGTGCCTGTTCAAATCCTTGGTCTCTAGATGGGGGCTACCAACACGGGGGGCAGTTTGTCCTGGCAACACGTATCCTGCTAAGAACTGGACCGAGACCCAACAAACTCATTGCACACAAGATGCCCAACTGTCAGAGCTGAATGACTCAGCCACTGCCACATTGGTGGTGGATTAGAATCGGGAGGGGGACGACACACCAACAAACTAAACAAAGAAACCACTCTGGATTCCATTCAGATCCCAAGCCAGCCAGTCTCTCTAAACTCCTTTATTTTAGCATAGTTCCACTACCACCTTTTTACCATCAGCAAAGTGGAGTGGAAAAATCCCCACCACAACCCTCATTACATAGGGAATAGAAAAACCCTACAGCTTCCATAACCAGCAAGCTTTGATACATGTTCATTCAAATGCCGCACTGTTCTCAGACAGCACATGTTCTGCCAGACTCTGCACCCATTAAGTGCTAGCAGCTCCCTGGCTCCGTTCCCATACAGCTCTGTCTGGAAGGGGATCGGACATCATGCTCTTTGTATGCATTAGCTGAGCCATTCAGTTCTCTGCTTACATTATTATCCAGTACCAGGAAACTGTGTAATCTTCAAAGATCTTCATGGCCAGTTGTCTTGCTTCCAGAACCACGTTTGCTTTTCTGGAATTAAAAACAGCAGGGAGTTGGGGGGAGAGGGGAGAAGAGAGGCATGTCAGTTTGTGATCAACCCCGCACTCTTTATAGGTCGACCAAGGCCCTCCTGGTGCCGGGATAAGAATTGTTCTCACTGAACATCCTCAAAGCTACCTCATTGTCCTCCTTCAGATCCCTTTTTAGAATTCCGCTGTGATGCCTACAAACATTTTGTTAGTGACTGGGCGGTTGTTGTGCACTGACCGCTGCCCGGTGTTTCTTCCCTGTATTCCCCCAGTTGTGTGTCAGTCTCTACCCGTTTCTGGTCTTTATACTTGGACTGTAAGCTCTTTAAGTCAGGGACCCTCTGTTTGTTCTGTGTTTGCACAAAGCCTGCCACAGTGGCTTCCTGGTCCAAGACTTTAGATAAGCTATTACCAGCAGGACAGTGGGGTGGGAGGGGGTATTGTTTCATGGTCTCTGTGTGTATATAATGTCTACTGCAGTTTCCACGGTATGCATCCGATGAAGTGAGCTGTAGCTCACGAAAGCTCATGCTCAAATAAATTGGTTAGTCTCTAAGGTGCCACAAGTACTCCTTTTCTTTTTGCAAAGACAGACTAACACGGCTGTTACTCTGAAAACTGGTCCAAGACTAAGGCTCTCAGGTGCTACCGCAACACATGTAAATAAGCATTATTTCATGGCAACTTATTTACCATGATGCCTTCTGGTCATGTTCGAACGTGACCGAGTTTCCTAACGAAGACAAGCCCAGAGGCACCCAGGATACCTCTCCTCAGAGATGAGGCTCAGAACTCACTTGGCCCCTTCCACCAGCTCTGTCACGTTCCTTTTTGTTTGTCCCCATCCATCATCAAAGGTCGTCTCGTTCCCAACCATGATGACCCCTTTCTTGGTGTTGATTGCTGGTAAACACCTGCGTGCCACTGAGGGACAAAGTACAAGAGGCACAGGTGAATTTTGTAGAGCAAAGCAGTCTAATCGCCACTTGCCTCATCAGGAAAATCCAGTACCCTCAGGTAAGGCTAACAGGAAGTGCTTTACACAAGTGTCAATATCACTAACCCCATTTTACTTATATGGAAACTGAGGCACAGATTAGGGAAGGAACTCCGCCACAGTTCCACATCAGATCAGCAGCAGAGCTGGGTTTAGAACCTGGCTGGTTCCCTTGCTCTCATCACCATAAACCCAAACCCAGCAGCTGGTCTGCTCCTGCTCTTATCTAGCAGTTTAATGGGGATTTTGCTCAGTACCCTGTCCCAGCTGGTTGGATGGACCACTGGGGGAAGGAAGCTGTACCCTTTTATTTGCAGGTCTCTTCCAAGCAACCTGCAAGGGCATGAACTGGAGCAAATCCTAGGTAGGGGGACACAGACACATGGAGACCAGCTGGTGGTAACACACCTGTGTGCAAAGCTATCTTGGATGTACATTGCCCTCACATGCTGTTGCACAAGAGGCAACAAACCCTGTCTGAACTCATACACGACCCATATTCAGTTCCCAGGAGCCTTCCCAGCCTCTTTTCCTTCGTTCCCCAGTCAGACTTACAAGGTTTGCTGGGAGTGATCATGGCCGGACAGTCTCCATCCCTCAGCACTTCCGGGACGCTCTAGAAGAGAGAGAGAGAAGTTTAAATGAAATTCTCGCCTGAAAATTTCTACACCATTCACTCTTCCTCTGGAGAAACATGCAAGCATCAGGTTAACATCAGAGAAAGAAGAGTCTAGAATGGCACCACACTGGGACCAGTTTTGAACAGTTTACTTCTAAAATACATCCCTTTCCTTTAATATAAAACTCACCTTCTGCTGATTGTTAAATTCTGGGACGCAGAACTGCTTGTAGTATTCAAAGTCTTTGGTGAGCTGTGTCCTGACTTTCAGGTACGTGAGATACCGGTCTGGGCACTTATTCACACAAATCTGAAAGAGTTCAGATATGCACAGTATGTAAGACTGAAAGAACTGAGTGGGGCTGTATAAGATCTAAGTATCATTATTAATCAGAGAGGAGCGGATGAGACAGACACAAGGTCACTGCTCCCTCTTGGGTGAGGGGCAGGAGTCTGCTAGCTGGCGTCCTGTCCATTCACTCTCAGCCTACAGTTCAACTCTTGCCCGTTGTGCCATAAACCTCAAAGCAAATCACCAGCAGAAGCCACTCATTTTGCTCCTCTTCCTGCACCTTTCCCTGTTGAGGCTCTCAGTTGCTGTTGCAATGCTCAGGCACAACCAAGAGAGGGCATCCCGCACTGTAGCTCCTCTCTCCTTAAACACTGAGAGACACACAGACACCAGGAGACATGTGCTCTACATACCTGGCACAGTACCCAGTGCCCACCCCGTTGCAGGATTCACTCATGGCTGACTGGAAAGCAACACCCCCTGCTCCCCGGGCGGTGGTCTGTGTGTTATCTGCAAGGACATTTGCTAAAGATAGCATGTGGGACATTGCAAAGCTCTTATTTAAAACCTTCCAAATGAGAACAAAGCAGGGGTTGGGGCCCCAAGAAGAGAAGCAGCAACAAGTGGTGTTTGGGAGCATGGGAAGCTGCGGAGAGCTGTGTTACCTGTTTGGTCGGACACTGGAACTCCAGCAGTACCAAGGGGCTGGCGCACTTCATGATGTTGAAGTAAAACAGGAAAGGCTTGTTCCTGCAAACAAGACAACATTTCAGTTTCTGGAATCTCCTGTCCAAGAGGGGAACAAACCTCCCACACCACCTATTCTAGTCCAGGCCTGCAGTGAGACCCTGCGCTGCCTTGCCCATCCAACAGCAGTGGAGAAGTCACATTGTCCTCCCACAGCCACGACAGTCTTGTGGTTTTGAAGCATTTATACTGCTTCCCTTTCAATATGCCGAAGAGCTAGAGCAGGAATCTAAAGTCAAACGCTGTCCCACCAGGCTGGAGAACCTAGTTCTAATCCTGCTCTTGTATCTGGTTCCCTGGGAAATGGTCTAGAGGTTCATCTCCTGGGGTGAGAGACTCGCAGCAATACACTTCCTGGCTGATTAGAACTGGAGCTGCCAAACTTGGAAAATCACAGTGACCCACACTTGGGTGTGATTTGAGACTAAAAGGTGGTGTTGCTCAGCCTGGGTCCGTAGCCTCTACCTGCAGCTCTAGTAGTCTCTGCTGGTTTGATCAGAGCTCTTCTCGCTTTGCCTAGTCTCAGGCAGTGGCAAGTGGAGGGGGGTTCTCACACAGCCTGAAAAATGGAAGGTAGCACTGAGCAAACAGATAGGATTGTTGAAGTCCCGTTTATACCTCACAGGAGCTTGGGGGTGGGGGGACAGAGGGAAAAGGGCAAATCCCACAGGCAAATCCTAGCAGCCAGAGGCAGGGAGGAGAGGAGATACAGTTGAATGGGGTTGTAGGGAGCCAAGAAATCAAGGATGTAGTATTTTGAGGCTATATTTCTTCTGGAGGTATTATGGAGCAAAGACAGGACATTACTCAGTGTTCCCATTTAATGGCAAACCAGCTTTCCTTGCAGTCTTTTAAAAGAAGAGTGATCTCAGACACATACTCATTGGGAGTTCCCAGCTGGCCACAGAACTGCCCGCGACTGTCTGTGGGGTATATCACCTTCCGGGGGTCACCATGTGTCCATGCTGAATGGGAGAAAAAAAAGCTACGATTAACCAGGCAACCTTCATTTCCTTCTCCCACCTCACCTGCTGTATCAACCTGCTGAGTCAATCATTGGCCAAGGACCTCCCCCAGTTAGCAAGTGATCTCATATAAACACCCTCCTCACCCAAACAAATCAGTGGGACAACCTTATCATGGGTAGCCCCACCCAGAAGTCCCCTCGGTGCTGATTTGACATGACTGTAGATACATGGACCAGTCTCTTCCAGCCTTCACATGAAACAGGAGCAGATGGAAAACTGAGGTAGGGCATGAAATGACAACCTGCCCTCATGAGTCTTCAGCTGCTGAAGAGCTAAAGGGATTGTCCTAGGGTGGCTGGGCCCTGTGAACAGGCCAGGTCTGGCTCTCTTGTGCCAGAGTCGGTGGGCCCAGTCGAGCTCATTAAAGGGGATTGGGCTCCATGTGGGGCTAGGAAGGCCTGTCAGAGGACAGGAAGAGGAGTGATTGGGACAGATTGTTCCTGAGGACAGAAGCCACAGAGAAGTGGAGCTAACTCTGGGGATGGATCCCTGGAACAAGGGGCCAGGTGCTCAAGGAGGTAACCCTGGTGCCAGCGTTCCAGAAGAAGGGAAGCTGGGTGAAAATGGGAAGCTGCAAAAAGCAAGATTACCAGAAACCCCTAGGAGGAGAGGCCACAAAACACTAGAACAGAGGTGAGCTGAGGAACTAGTTTTGCTGGTTTGATTAGGTTTGGACAATAAACTTGCTTCAGTAAGACTGGCCATGGCAACATATGCTTGAAAACTGGGGAGAAGCCCTGCCACGTCACAGTCAGGGATCCTGCCTCGAGGAACAGGGGTGACTCCACCTGCAAGAGGAGAACCATCCCTCCTACCCAGAGACATCACCTGTTAGTGGCTGGGCAATGGGTACTGTGCCAAGTACTGCCCTGTGAGCCACCCCCCTCACACACGTGTAACATCACAACACACTAAGCATTTAATCACTTGTCAACCTGGTGTTTTTACCCCAACCAAGCATCTGCTGTACGCCAATGCCTTTTTAGGGCCTGTCCCCGCCAGGATCTGAGTCTAGAGGTGTCGAGGGTGACAAATGCCACTCTGTTTCCTAAAAAACAGAGAAAGGAAGAGAAGGCCATATGCTACCTACCTACGACTCCCACAATGACATAGCCAAGGATGGCGATGAGGAGGAGGATACAGCAGATGATGTCAGTGCAGCCCCTGAGGGAGGAAGGCGAAGTAAGAACAAGATCAGGCACTAGCTCCAGAAAAGCAGGGAGACTGGAGCACTCACTATGCCCCCCTGCTTCATCCCAGCACCTCCCTGCAGAAACCACTCCCATCCACATTCCCGCTGAGATGTGGACCCTGTCTCCAAGGTCTCTGCGGCAATCAGCATTCCCCAGTCACCTATTCATATTAGCGCCACCCCAGAGTGTTGGATGAGAACAGGTGTTCTCTGCTCAGCCTGAGGAGCACCCCACTCCTATTGCCAGCTGCTGAAAGGCTGCTCTTACCTGTCATGAATGGGACCTTTGAATGTTGGGTCATATTTCTGTGGCGTCCCTAAAAAGAAGGTAAGAGGACACTGAGTTAGCCATCCATTTGGAGTAGCATTGGGCCAGCAGGGTAAATTTTCACATCCTTTTCCTTCTACTAGGACCTGTTTTGGAGCTACTTCATACCCAGGAGTAGCAGGAACTTGGCAAATATTGATGTTGGTTAGAGATGACAAATATCCCTTTCATCAGGTGGCAGGGCAGCTGGTAAACTGAAGCCAAGCAAGAGAAAGTGATTTGCCCAAAGGGACACAGCCCATCAGTGCAACAGCCAGGAACAGGACACCATTTTCCATGGCTCTAACTACTTGGCTCCCTCTTTGACCAGTGTTTGTAGCCACCAGACACAGACTGAGCCAAATCTGCCCCTGGTGGGGTACCCATGCAGCCCCGGAGGTAACAGAGGGTAGACCTTGGCCCATTGTATTTCCTTTTCAAAATCAGAGTTGGGCACGTCTGCTATGTTATGGTGGGGAAGGTGTGTTGAGGAAGTCTGATTCTAAGTCTAATTGTCATATGTGGCAGTTGAATTTCTTCCCACCAAGAAGAGAAGAACTCAGGATGCTGTAGGGTTAGTAATGAGTTTGGGGCTCTTATGAGCAGGAGAACTTCCGTTCTATGAGACACAGGCAAGAAAGATTCAGAACAGGAAATCCCCTGCAACCACCATTTTCTGGGCTGATCCTAGCCACCCCACAGGAGCACGGGAATTAAGGAAAATGTTAGTTCAGGGATGGGGAAACTTTTTGGCCCTAGGGCCACATTGGGTACAGAAATTGTATGGAGGGCCGGGTAGAGAAGGCTGAGGGAGGCTTATGCCTCCCCAAACAGTGAGGTGTGGCCTGGCCCCCACCCCCTATCTAGCCCCCTGGAACTCCCACCCCCATCCAATCCCCCCTGCTCCCCACCCCTGACTGACCCCAGGACTCCTGCATCCTCTCCAAACACCCCTGCTCTCTGCCCCCTGACCATCCCCCCAGGTTGCCTGTCCCCTATCCAATCTCCCCTGCTCCCCACCGCCTGACCGCCCCCCCTTGGGGCTCCCCTGCCCCCATCCAACCCTCCCTGCTCTCCCCAACCCACATTAGCTGTGGGGTGGGGGAAAGGAGGCTCAATCCTTTCCCTGTGCATTTCCCCTGCTCATTTTGGCTGCTCTCCCTGGCAGTCGGGCAGGGCTCGCTCCGTGTCTGGGCTTGCTGGAGGTGCATGCTGGAGGTGCATGGTGGAGGTGGAGGGGGGCCCTGGTTTGCTCTGCCCAGCCCCTGTCCCCGGCAGCAGGCCCCAGGCCCCTTGACCGACCCCTAGCTCCTCACCTCCCCCCCGGAACTCCCTCTGGCCCCGCTATAGCCATGCTGCCCCGCTGCCCCGCTTGGGGAACTGTGCCTGCGAGGGCGGCAGGGAGCGAGGGGAACAGAAGGGGAGGGGCCAGAGACTAGGCTCCGCCCCGCTCACCCGGCTGTGGGGAGTTGGGCTGGCTCCTCTGCAAGCTTGTCCTGACCCCGCTCCCTGGCAGGAGCTTGGGGGCCAGAGGGAAGGGTCCTGCGGGCCGGATGTGGCCCATGGGCCGGATTTTGCCCCCCTCTGGTTTAGATATTAGAATTCATAATTTTATTAAGATGATGTTGAAGTAAAAAGAAAACGGTACAGAGTTTAAGCATAGAAGTTTCTGGTTATCAGGGAATAAGGTACAGATTATCAAGGGGTGCAAAATTCGGTTTAGGAACGGGTGGCGTAAGGAATACATAATCTGCAAGCTCCCCGATTGGGGGTAAAGGTTTAACAGGTCAAAGTACAGACACTGAGATATGGGGTACGTTGTCCATATAATGGCTATGTTCAGGTGTGGAGTATAATGCGTGGATACGAGGATGAGGATGGATTTACCCTCATTTGGTGGGATTTAATGTTCAGTGAGTTTACGGAGTTTGCCCCCCTTTGGTTTAGATATTAGAATACTACATCCTCATCTTGGCACCACGGACGGTGCCGATGGAGGAGGCTGGAAGCAGGTTTCACCTTTACAGCAAAGGCCTGGAGACTACCCAGAACCAGGGAGGAAAATTATCTACCAAGAGATCATTTTTCTTCCGATATCCTAGTGTCCAGGGCTGGAAATAATTTGGGGCCTGACTGTAGAACAAGTTTCCACATAGCTCCTCAGCCAGTTCTCAGAGAATGTTTCCATTCAGCTCCTGGGAATTTTCCAAGAGAGAAAGTCACCAGAAATGTTTTCAGAGCCTCAAAAGAGGCCCAGGGGCCCCTCAGTCAGGTTACCCAGAGCCAGCTCCAGATCTAGGATAGTAAGTTCTATCTAACCTAGAAATCCCTTCTCTCTACAGGCTGCAACCGCCCTAACCCACCCTAGCACTCCTTGGATGGAATTCAATAGCTGGAGCCAGACTGCTTATTCCATTACCTCCTGCCCTGAGAAGGAGCCACGCACGGATCCCGCTCTGAGAAACCTGGGAGCTGCTGAGATGCCCTAATCCCCGAATCAAAACGTGGGTAAGAGCCAATGCACAAGGCAGGCATACACAGATGCTTTGAAAGTGAAACCAGGTGGATTTCCTGGAAAAACAGGCCAAGGCTAGCATACATACGCCAGAAATTTCAGCTACCTAATGACAGGTTTCAGAGTAGCAGTCGTGTTAGTCTGTATCTGCAAAAAGAACAGGAGGACTTGTGGCACCTTAGAGACTAACAAATTTATCTGAGCATAAGCTTTTGTGAGCTACAGCTCAAATAAATTTGTTAGTCTCTAAGGTGCCACAAGTCCTCCTGTTCTTTTTGCAGCTACCTAATATACTTGTACTTACTGCTGGCACTTGTGGAAGAGACATGAGTGTGCAATGTTCCTTCTCTGTATGTCTCATAGGCACACAGCACCTGCCCTGGTCATCGTGTTTGTGGACAGGCAGTGAAGTGATTTACAAGGCTCCTGTTTTCCTTATCTACAGAGCAGGATTCTTGCCAGCTTCTGTGAACTGTCTGCACAAACACTCAGAGCAGCTGCATCCCCACCCCCACCAGGGAGAATTTATGCAGAAGAGTTTATAACAGCAGGTTTGCAGCTCCCACTCAGCACTCAAAAGATGCACCATGGCCCATGTGCCAAGCTACAGAGACCACCAAACTCTCAGCAGGACCTGTGGGACCCGTGAAACGAAACAGTTCTTGATTTCTACTCACGGGATTCCCCCCTTTCAGGGGCATCACAATTCACTGCTCAGAGAGTGAGCAGCTAGTAGCCCTGCTTGGAACTAACAGCATGCTTCAGGCCAAACCTGCAGCCCCTCCCTGCTAATCCAGGCCTGGACACTGCCAGTACATCTCAGTCCTGACTAGCGGCACCCTTCTGTTCCAGTCCTGGGCTCCCCGTGCCCCCAACTCTGCCAGCACACCTCTGCTCTGCCCCCCCCCGCTCTTCCAGTCCTGGGTCACTCCAGGGCAGCGATGGCTAACTTTGCTGGAACGTTCGCCTCCCTAAAAATACCACGCAAGCAGCAACTTTGCGGCAATTACCCCCAAACTAGCCACTCCCCATGCAAGGTCTTGGAAAGCATGGGGGGGGGTTCTCCACCATCTGTGCTGACGCAAGGGGAACTCTGAACCTTTGCAGAAAGGGTGAGGGTCACAGAGGAGAACTGGAAGTCCAGGTTCTCAGCCATCAGGGCCAAGAGACTCCAGGGTTAATTTGTGGCCATGGGAGCCTAAAAGAGGAGGAGCTCGAGCCCAGGGCTATGAACCTAACACAGAGTGACTCACAACAAGGGAGTGACAATTTGTCCACACACAAGTCACGCTGCTTTAACTACACCATGGAAAGCAGTACAAGCCAGCTGGTGTTTATACTGATTACAAAGGTGCTTTTATAGCTGTTCCCCTGCAAGAACGGGAATAAACTGTATGGGTGTAGGGCGCCTTTATACCAAGGCTTAGAGTGTTTTTCTCCAGTCAGTCCCAAGGGCAGGGCTCACCACAACTGAAAAGAAATGCAGAGGAAAGGCAGCTGCTGTCTTGTTTCGCCAGGAAGCTGTTTAATTAACTGTAACGCACCATCTCTACCCTCCATGGACCTCAGCTGCTTGTGAAGGAGCCTGATGGTCAGACATTCATTAAAGTTCAGGGAGTTTGCAGAGAGCCAGCCATGTCCATTCATGCCCAGATTCCACTCTTCTTTCTGCCCATAATCAGAAAGGCATCCGAGCACAGACTGCTCCTGGCAAAGGCCCAAGGCATCCCGGCGAGACAGCACCCGGTTCCCCAGAACTCAGTGCTGTCCCCTGCAGACCCTTGCACACACAGAGGGGAAAGCGAGCATCAGGAGCAGGAAGGGAGCACAGGAGGCTGGCATAAGCAAGCCCCAGAGAACAGACACACTGGACATTGCTGCACGACGCACACTTTCTTACCGTGTTTGCCATAATAATTCTCTTCGTCTACCCCCATGCCAACGACTCACTGCAGGAGCTCAGCTCACTTCCTTCTGACTCCCACAGTCCGCTAGGGATCAGTTGCCCAGTCAGCTCTGGTGGCCCCCTCTTCCTGTCTGGCTGAACTGGTCTAACCTGTAATAGGTGTTTAGCAAAAAGCTCCCTTTGCAGGCAGTTTGTGTTGCTCTTTCACATACTGATTCTCTGGCTGTCTTAGCCGTCTTTCCTCTTCTCTCTGGGTGTGACTATGGGCAGCCAATAAAAACAGAAGCCCATTCAGCAAACACATTTAAAGGGACAGCAACCACTCCTATAGGATAGGCCTGGGTTGCTGGCCTGATTCTCCCAGGCCCTGTGCCACGTCTGATCATTTACACCCTGTGCCAAATGCATGCCAAGCGCTCCCGAATCAGAATGGGAACAAAGGTGGAAACATCACCCAAGGTGCAAGGCAGGGGCCAGTTCAAAAACAGGACTGAGGCTCTCATAGGATCTCTCAAGGTATCCCTCGGATGGAAGATGTATCAGCTTCTAGCCATCTCGCACGGCCAGACCTGCGGCCAAGCAGAGCTCTGCACAGAAAAATCCCAAACACACAGGATCTGACCCACTGCGAAGAACTTCTCCCCAAAGAAAGGGGTCAATGAAGCAGCTCCGTGCCTTAGTGCCAGGGTAGCATGGTGGCACATGGGAGAAGGGAGTCTCACAGACACGCTGTGAACAGTTGTAGCTGCTTAAATCATAAAAAGGCAACGAAATGGGGGAAGTTTTATTGCTTAAAAAAATAAGCTTCTTTACACCCATGCCAGTAGGTATGCAGTGCTTTGAGCTGGGCTCTGACCCCCTCCACAGCTGGAGTCAGGCGGAATTCTCTTCTCTCCCTCTCTCAGTCACGCACGTTGTGCAACGGCAGCTCCAGGCAGAAAGTCTGACTTTCTTTTCTTCTGAAAAAGAAACTTTCCTCTCGCGAGCCCTTGATGCAGAGAATGAGGGGAGGGCACAAGTGAGAGAGAGGTGCATCGAGAGGTGCGCGCGCATTTCTATTCCGCTGACGGGCCGAGGCACTGTGGTTGCACTGGTAGAACTGTGTTGGTTCCTGAGACAGTCATACTCCCACAGTCTCTAGTGTGGATGCACTTGTACCAGAATAAAGGTGTCTTCCTGCTACACCTTGTTCCCCTTCCTGTACGGCAGGGGTTCTCAAGCTGGGGGTCGAGACCCCTCATGGGGTCGCGAGGTTATTACATGGGGGATCGCGAGCTGTCAGCCTCCACCCCAAACCCTGCTTTCCTTCCAGCATTTATAATGGTGTTAAATATATTAAAAAAGTGTTTTTAATGTATAAGGGGGGTCACACTCAGAGGCTTGCTGTGTGGAAGGGGTCACCAGGACAAAAGTCTGAGAACCCCTGCTGTACGGGACTAGCTAGACTGGTACAAGGCACCTTGATATCGGGCTAACCAGGTTCACACTAGGTGACTCTACCGACAGTTAAGCTTTTGTGTATAGACAAGACCTTAGAATTGTGTCTTTAAAAAAAGCTTTAAGCCTTTCTATCTGTTGTGCTCATCTACCCTCCTTCACACACCCCTAGGAGGCAGGGCTGCTACCACTGGTGGGCAGATGGGACTGAAGGCCCAGAGAGACTAAGTGACTTGCCCGAGGTCACACCAGGAGCCTGTGGCAGAGCAGGGATTTGAACCTGGCTCACCTATGTCTCAGGCTAGAGCCCTTCACCACTAGACCTTCTTCTTCCTTTAGCCACCCACTGGCCGCCACTGGCACGGGACCAAGGTGTGGGGCTGTGGTTGGAAGCTGGTTCAGCTTGTTTTGTTCTTAACGCGTACTCAGCGGCACTGGCAGACGGTTCTAACTGCCAGCCCCAGCACCTCGACTGACCCTCAGGGTGCAGACACCGTGAGCCACGGCAAGGCAGGGATCTACCTCCCGCTGCCTCCTGCCAGGGCCTCAGCTCCATCTCAGCGTCCTCGGTGCCTCTGCTGGGATCGAGAGCAAGAAGCCAGCTGGTACCGGTCTGTTTGTGGCTGAGACCCACCCGATCCATGTTGCGTCAGGGCACACGTTCCAATCTGGGGCTGCCATGGAAATCACTGAGCATTGCATGGCCACGGTCAGTCCCCTGAGCCTACAGTTCATTGCTGTGGTTTACCCTCTTCGCTATATTTAGATTGTAAATAAATCTCCACTAGACACATTGACTCAGAGTCAGGAATAGAAACCAGAAGCGCTAACTCCCACCCCTCCCCAACTCTAACTATGAGACCCCACTTCCCTCCCAGAGCTGGGAATAGAACCCAGGAGTCCTGGCTCCCAGCCCCCCCGCTCTAAGCACTAGACAGAAATTCCTTCAGATAGTAACTGAGCCAAAGGTTGACGGTACATCCTATGCACCCCCCCTAAGCCAGCGCAGAACCCACCTCCCTGCAGCGGTATCGGTTGCTGCTGGGCTACGACCTGGGGCCTGATTGAAGGACGAGCCATGGGAGTGGCTCTTGGAGTCACCAGCTGTAAGCAGCATGTTTTTCGCCACCCTAAGTGCAGGGCAGGAGAGAGAGATTTATGGGCGACCTGTGCCAGTCGCCCGTGAGCCCTTGCCCTGGCAGCAGCTCTGTGCCCCCATTGGCTGGTGGTGATGTCATGGGGCAGACTGGTAGGCCACTGATTTACAGCTCCAAAACAAAAGCTGGGATTGGAGGAGCGGGAGAATCCTCGCATCTCTCCTGGAGCTGCTGCCTTGGACTGAGGGATCACCCCCGCCAGGCACCCGCACCCCGCTGCCCAGTGCCAGGCTGCCCCTCAGCACAAAGGAGGGCTGGGGAAAGCCTCAAGAGTGATGGGGAGAGGAGAGAGGCCAGGGCAGAGCCTGCTGGGCCATGAGTCATTCTGCCAGTCAGGCTGCTGCAGGGAGGGTGGGGAGAGAGGAACAAGAAACACATGGGTGTGATGGCATGAGGGAGGCTGATTAACCACAGCCCAGCGGGTGATGTTCCTAGCCACTCCCTGAGCCACAGTGCTGGGGGCAGAGGGAGAGAAGCGGGAAGCCTGGAGGGCTGGGACTGAGAGATCCAGGCAGTGGCGGGAGGAAGGATGGTCCAGGGGTTCAGCCTCAGGAGATCTGGGCTCAACTCCCCGCTCTGCCACTGACTCCCTGTGTGGTCTTGGCTGAGTCACTTAGTGCCTCGGGTCCCAGCTGTACAACGTGCATAACAGCCCAGGGCTGGGCTAGAGCAGCAGCTCCCATAGCTAGGGCTAGCAGAGATACTGCAAAAAGAACAGGAGGACTTGTGGCACTTTAGAGACTAACCAATTTATTTGAGCATAAGCTTTCGTGAGCTACAGCTCACTTCATCGGATGATACTGCGATGCCACAGCCCTTGGCGTGGCCAGCTGACCTGGCGGGGGAGCTGTGACAAAGTGGGACTGTTCTTCATGTTTCCTCTGAATACTGTTGGGGTGCCTCAGTTTCCCCTAGGCATTTCTTAAGTCTCCAGGTGGTGGGATAAGGGGATGTAATGGCTGCAGAGCAAAGGGCCAGTGAACATAAATGGCGACACTCTGTCTCCTGGCAACTGATGGCCTGGGCCCTTCCCCCCTGCAAGGTGAGAGCTAAAGGGTTGGAGAACAAAGGAATCTGGTGCCCTCCTGGCCCGGGAAAGGGACAAAGCCCAGGGGACGAGGGGCTGGAGAGAGTTTCAGTTTGGGGGGCTGGCTGGGGACATGGAGCGAAGGGCAGATGGGGTTGTCTGGCTCACTGGCCCCCAAAATGGACCTGGCTGAGGGGGTCCTGTTCTCTGCACCTACAAGCTCTGTGTTAGACCATGTTCCTGTCATCTAATAAACCTTCTGTTTTACTGGCTGGCTGAGAGTCCCGTCTGACTGCGGAGTTGGGGGGCAGGACCCTCTGGCTTCCCTAGGACCCCACCTGAGCAGACTCGCTGTGGGAAGCGCAGGGAGGGGCAGAGGAGGCTGAATGCTCCGAGGTCAGACCCAGGAAGGTGGAGCCGGGTGAGCTGTGTGTCCTGCAGACAGGCTGCTCCCAGAGAGGAGACTTCCCCAGGTCCAGCCTGGCTTCGTGGGGAGCAGTTCCAGAGCATCGCCCAGGGACTCCGTGACAGGGGCTGGCTCGGTTATTCACACACCCAGAGCCATTTGGGTTTCTTTTGTCACCCTCTGACTTTCCCATCATGTGGCCTTCCCAGGCCCCTCTGGCCATTTTCCTTCCCCAACATGGATTCTGTGAGTTTGTTTCAGTCTCCCTCAGGAGAGGCTCCCGCGGGCGTCTCTCTCCTCACCCCACCAGCCAGGTGGGCACGATCTCGTAGCCTCTCCTCTCCATCCACTAGCTGCAGGCTCTGAGCCCCGAGCCAGCCCCCGTCCCTGCACCCCGGACACGGGCTCACAGCTTTCGGAAGCCACGAGCTGCGAGGCCTGAGGACGAGAATGAGGAGACGGTAGAAAGTGTCACCTCCCGAACCAGCAGCCCAGAGCCTCCGGCCACATACAGTGACAGACTCCAGACCCCCCATCTCGCGAGGGGCTGCCCCAGGGCCCCAGCCCCAGTGCATGCTGTTCAGAGGAGGTGGAAAGCAGCGTCCTGGCAAGCACAACCTGATCAACAGGAAATGAAGTGGTGCAAATTAAAAGACATGGATGCAGCTGACTTTTATCTGCATTCAGCCAGGATCAAAGGGGCGCTCGATAGAGAGGCCGTTCCAGAGAAAATGCCAGGAAGCGGCAAGTTTGCAGAGCCCCAGGAAACCCCCGAGGCCCCTCTCCATGGCAAGGAACCAACATATTCTTCGCAGCCCAAAAGTGGAACAACCTCCTTGCACTCATCAGGTCAGCCACTCCCTGCCCCATTGGCTCTGAGGGGCACGAGAGCGGGCGCGAGAGCAGGCGCGGGGAAGTGGGGCATAGCCAGAGATCCTTGAGCAGCCGCGGGCTCGCTGCAGAGCTAAAAGTATCACAACAGCAACTTGGTTTTAGTCTGTCCCCCCACAAACACACACACAGCGGCTGCTAGACCAGCCTTGCTGACCCCGCGTGGGCAGGACACGGACAGAAGAGACAAATTCAGCTTAAAGCATTTATCAGATTAAATGGGCTTGGGTTTGTGTCCTATTGTAACGGGGGTTTAATTCGGTTTTGGTTTTAAATTGACAAAGAGTTCGCTGCCTGGGAGAGTGGAGGATCTGTGCCCCTCAACCCTGACCCACAGCCCCTGCTATCCCAGCCCTGCCCCCCAGGCCCACCGGTGCCCCTCAGCTCTGACCCACAGCCCCCTCTATGCCAGCCCTGCCCCCCACTCCCAACCTGCAGTCCCCCTGCTACCCCAGCCCTGCCCCCCAGCTCCACCCATGCCCCTCATCCCGACCTGCAGCCTCACCGAAGTCTGGTCCTGGCTCCCAGCTGAACTCTCCCAACACCCTTCGCTCCATCCCTGCAGCCGCCTCGACCGCCTGCCGGCAGAGCAGCCCCAACCCCAGGCTGTGATGGGTTCTCAGCTCCCCCCCTCAGCAGGGCCCTGCTGCTGCCTGTCTTTATCTCACCAGCCACCTGCTCCAGGGAGACTAGTATCCCAGCATGCAATGCTCGGGGCTGTCTCCTGCTCTGGGTGGATCTTCCAGCTGATGCAACGCTGCTATTGTGACCTACGGGCTCTTGACCAGCTTGGGTCAGATGCCTCCCACCCCCGTCCCGGTCTGGACAGCCACCCCCTCTTTGTGCTCCAGGACACAGGAAGGACGGTGTGATGAAGTGGGAATGTTCTTAATGTTTTCTCTGACTACTGTGTGGGTGCCTCAGTTTCCCCTAGGCATTTCTTAAGTCTCTAGGTGGTGGGATCAGGGGGTGTGATTGTTGCAGAGCCCTAGAGGGCCAGTGGGATGCTGTCTGCCCAGAGAATGGCCAACACCCTGTCTTCTGGCAACTCATAGCCTGGGCCCCTCCCCTGCAAAGATGCCAACCAAGGGGTTCGAGAACAAAGAGATCAGGTGGCCTCCTGGCCCGGGAAAGAGACAAAGGCTAGAGGAGGGGCTGCAGAGTTTCAGTTTGGAGCTGGCTGGGGAAATGGAGGGAGGCCCAGATGGGGCTCTGGCCTCCCTGCCCCCCAAGACGGACCCAGCTGAGGAGTCCTGTTCTCTGCACCTACAAGCTCTTTTAGACCATGTTCCTGTCATCTAATAAACCTTCTGTTTTACCGCCTGGCTGAGAGTCCCATCTGACTGCGGAGTTGGGGGGCAGGACCCTCCGGCTTCCCCAGGACCCTGCCTGGGTGGACTGGCTATGGGAAGCGCACGGGGGGGGGGGGGGGCAGAGGATGCTGAATGCTCCGAGGTCAGACCCAGGAAGGTGGAAGCTGTGTGAGCTGTGTGTCCTGAAGACAGTCTGCTCACAGAAAAGAGACTGCCCCAGAGTCCTGACTGGCTTTGTAGGGAGCAGTTCCAGAGCATCGCCTGGGGTCTGCGTGACAGAGGGTTCCCCAATTCCAGCCTCCGGGCGCAATCTCAGATTTATTACCTGGGGCCCTTCCTAAAATCAGCAGCTCATCCTGCCATGGCCTGGGCTGCACCTGTGGTGAGGTCAGAGACCTTGAAACCCCAGGGCAAGGGATGCAGAGCGGCAGTGGGTACAGGGCATGGGCACAGGTGCTGCAAGTCAGGGTGCCGGGGTGCAACCGCACCCCCTGGTTTGAAGTGGTTTCCATTCTACACAGGGTTTACAGTTTGGTTCACTGGCTCTCAGCCCCCACTATACAAACTGTTCCATCCCCCCAGGTGTGGGGTCACCCTGCCACGGGTCCTGCTCTGGGCTTAGAGGATGCCAGTTTCCAGAGCTGCCAGTCTGGCACCTGCCCTCCGCTAACAACATCCAGCCCTGAGGTGAGGAAATCCCCCTGCAGGCCCACATGACCCGTGTGGCTTGTAACAGGATGTCATGCCTGCTAGCGCAGCCAGACAAGCAAGAGGCCTGGCCTGTAACAAGTGGCTGTTCTGGGCCTGGGCCCCTCTGATGCTGGGGGCTCTGTGGGGGCCCGTGGACAGCGCTTGCCTCTTTCCAAATCTTCTTGTGGTCCCGGCACCTCTGGCGTTTCCAGCCTCGCAATCCAACACTGTTTGCAGCATCAAACCACCAGCTGTTTGCTGTCCGGGCCCAGGCCTCTGCTGCCCTGACGGGTCCCAGCATGGCCAGGATCTGCAGCTCTCCCTGTAAGCTGGGTCTGGACTGGCATGTGAACTGGCAGGCATCTCAGAGCCTGGCTCTCCACCCCTCAAAACTCCCTCTCATCCGTCTGGCTGAGGCAGCTCCTGCCTTGCTCAGATTCCCTTTCCCTGAGTCAGCTAGCTGGGGCAGGAGTCTGCTGAGAGAGGGGAGGCTCCTTCTCCTCCAGCCAGGCCAAGGTCTGCAGCCTCTGGTTATAAGGGTCTGGACCCAGGGACCGGGGCCCTAGGCAGCCTCTCAACCTCCGGGAGACTGAACATCCCCCGACAGACGGAAACATCCCCCCCGCAGCAGCTTCGGGTGCAGGTCTCTGCAGGACAGACAGGGAGCAGGTCTGTCTTTCTCTGGGACATTCTTCCTCCCTAGATCCCACTGGGCAGAGAACTCCTCACCCCCCACCCCCTAAGCTGTGGCTGTGCACGGTTACACAACACCCGCTCCCCCCCGGAAGCACTTGTGTAGGCAGGGGCTGGGCTTCCCCATTTAAAACAGCAGGGTTGGGAGCAAAAAGCCACATGTATCGAAACCAAGAGACTCGACGCTTTGTGGGCTCTCTCCCAAGGCAGCATGTCCCTGGGGAGTGAGTGGCTCCGCGACCCACCCTGTCCTGAATGCCTGGAAGGCAGCCACCTCCTTCCTCAGTTCCTGGCCCACTTCCGCCCCTCTTCCCGGCATGCCATGCTCTGAAACGCTGCCAGCTGGCGGGGGTGGGAATGGGGGGGCACCTCTGACCCCTCATCTGCAGCCCGGAATCCCAGCTGCAAACCCTGAATCCGGCCATGACGCTCCCCTTGTACAGGGGGCAGGGCATCACCCCGCCTTGGAGAACCCCTACAGAGAGAGACGCATCCCCTGCAAATACCCCTGCCCCCCACCACACCCCCACACCCCGTGCTGCCCTTTCCCAGCCAAGCTAGCCCTGTCAGGCGAGGTCCCAGCCCCATCGTCTAAAGCAGGGTATTTCTCCCCCTCCTGGAGGGTGACGGACCTGACCTGCCCCCCTAGGCAGGCCAGGCTCTAGCCGAGGGGGAAGACAAGGCCGAGGATCCCCTACGCTCACCTAGGGAGAGAGTAAGAGCGAGCGAGTGAGCCCCATGTGACTGGAAGGGGCCCAGATACCATGGTCCTGGGGCCGGTTTTGTTCAATATCTTCATAAATGATCTGGAGGATGGTGTGGATTGCACCCTCAGCAAATTTGCGGATGATACTAAACTGGGAGGAGTGGTAGATACGCTGGAGGGGAGGGATAGGATACAGAAAGACCTAGACAAATTGGAGGATTGGGCCAAAAGAAATCTGATGAGGTTCAATAAGGATAAGTGCAGGGTCCTGCACTTAGGACGGAAGAACCCAATGCACAGCTACAGACTAGGGACCGAATGGCTCGGCAGCAGTTCTGCGGAAAAGGACCTAGGGGTGACAGTGGACGAGAAGCTGGATATGAGTCAGCAGTGTGCCCTTGTTGCCAAGAAGGCCAATGGCATTTTGGGATGTATAAGTAGGGGCATAGCGAGCAGATCGAGGGACGTGATCGTTCCCCTCTATTCGACATTGGTGAGGCCTCATCTGGAGTACTGTGTCCAGTTTTGGGCCCCACACTTCAAGAAGGATGTGGATAAATTGGAGAGAGTCCAGCAAAGGGCAACAAAAATGATTAGGGGTCTGGAACACATGAGTTATGAGGAGAGGCTGAGGGAGCTGGGATTGTTTAGCCTGCAGAAGAGAAGAATGAGGGGGGATTTGATAGCTGCTTTCAACTACCTGAAAGGGGGTTCCAAAGAGGATGGCTCTAGACTGTTCTCAATGGTAGCAGATGACAGAACGAGGAGTAATGGTCTCAAGCTGCAGTGGGGGAGGTTTAGATTGGATATTAGGAAAAACTTTTTCACTAAGAGGATGGTGAAACACTGGAATGCGTTACCTAGGGAGGTGGTAGAATCTCCTTCCTTAGAGGTTTTTAAGGTCAGGCTTGACAAAGCCCTGGCTGGGATGATTTAATTGGGGATTGGTCCTGCTTCGAGCAGGGGGTTGGACTAGATGACCTTCTGGGGTCCCTTCCAACCCTGATATTCTATGATTCTATGATTCTATGGTGATGGGTGCAGTGGCCGCACCTATCGAGAGCGCAGGAATCTACGGAGAAGAGGGGCTTGGACTGCGGTGTCATCCACGGCCAGGCTCAGGCCCCCACTGTGCCAGGCACATCGGATCTCACCTCCGGGGCCACCAGTCCATATGCTCCCGTGCCCGCTGCCTGCCCTGGGACCCACACAGCGCCCACTCTGAGAGCACGTCTATGCAGCGGCCTGGATGGGTGATTCCCAGCGCGGGCAGCCAGACCCGGGCCAGCTCTGTCCAAGCCAGCCTGCTACAAATAGCTGTGTGACCACGGCGGGACGGACGGCGGCTCAGGCCAGTCCCCCAGTGCCACCCCAGCTCCCACCCAGGCCCCATAGCTAGTTTAGCTGGAGCAGCGCGAGCGTTCGGCTCCCCGAGCCAGCCGGGCATCCAGCGGCTCTGCCTTTACCGTGGAGAATGACATGTCTGGGCCGGAGTGAGCCAGCTCGGCGTAAACCCCGCGTGGGGACAAAGCGCTGGTGGCGTGGGCCTGGCTGAGCTGACCCCCACGGGCTCCAGGGAGGGGATAGCAACCTGGGCCTTGTCCTCAGGGTGCTACACGCAGAGCTGGCTCCAGCGAAGAACAGAGCCCAGCCCTGCAGCCGATCACACCAGCCGTCTGAGCCAAGAAACCTCCTTGGATGGATTCAGTCTGGCTCCCGCCACAGCTCTTCCTCCAGGAGAGAACAACCCCCCCCAGACCGGGCTGACGACATCCCAACTGCTGGGGTGCCATCTGGCTGCCAGAGCCAGAGCATCACCAGGGTGGGGCGCTCCAGGGCTCCCTGCGTGGGGACCAGGACAGAGGAAAGAGCTTGTTATATACCAGGAAGGTGAGAGCACCCCGCCCCCAGCCCTGTTCTGTCTCATTGGGCGGGGGGGGGGGGGAGGGTGCGGAAACCATCTCCTCAATTCAAACTTGCCCCATAAATCAGGAGAGTTAAAATTCTGTGCCCACCACAGGGGGTCCCTGCGGAGTCCTGGGCATTGGGGAGGAGGCTGTTTGAGAGTGAGCTTTTTGGGGCAGGGACTATTTCCCAGTCTACATTTGTACACTGCCCGGCACGTCGGGGCCCTGATCTCGGGCGGGGTCTGGGCAGCGCCTGGCCCAGTGGCTCTCCACGCAGGACCAAGGTTTGGTAGCCACCGCAGTACCACTAATGAGTGACCAAAAGGAATAACCACGCTGACCCTCTGGCTGCACAGTGCTCTGCAGTGAAAGGGACGAGACGCTAGATCGTGGGGTGCCAAACCTTTTGGCCCAAGGGCCACATCTGGGTATGGAAATTGTATGGCGGGCCACAAACACTCACGAAATTAGGGCTGGGGTGCCGGAGGGGGTGAGGGCTCTGGCTGGGGGGTGGGCTCTGGGGCCGAGCCAGAAATGAGGAGTTCAGGGTGCGGCAGGGGGCTCTGGGCTGGGGCAGGGGGAATGGGGTGCAGGCGATGTGTGAGGGCTCCGGCTGGGGGTGCAGGCTCTAAGGTGGGACTGGGGAGGAGGGGTTTGGGGTGCAGGAGGTGGCTCTGGCCTGGGACCGAGGGGTTCGGAGGGTGCGAGGGGGATCAGAGCTGGGGCAGGGGATTGGGGCACTGGGAGGGGGGCGGCTCAGGGGTACAGGATCCAGGTGGCACTTACCTCAGGCAGCTCCCAAAAGCAGCGGCATGTCCCCTCTCCAGCTCCTACACGGAGGCACAGCCAGACGACTCTGCACACTGCCTGGTCTGCAGGCACCACCCCTGCAGCTCCCATTGGCCGCGGTTCCCGGCAAACAGGAGCTGCAGGGGCAGCGCTTGGGGTGGTGGCAGTGCGTGGAGCAGAGCCCCCTGGCTGCCCCTATGCATAGGAGCTGGAGACGGGACATGCCGCTGCTTCCGGGACCTGCTAGCCGCGGCCCCAGACCCCGCTCCCCCCCCGTAGCTATCAGCACTGTTTGTGCAGGAGAGCAAGTGCGGGCACCCACCTGGGGGAGCCGGGCAGCTGCCCTGGCCCATCGCATTTCTCACAGGGCTGTCACACCAGGGTGTGCCCCAGGCCCAGCCACCCCGCCCCCACTCCTTTCCCCTGCCCCTGTCAGTCCGGGTGGAAGGAAACAGAGCAAGTGGTGCTGGTGATTAGAAACACAGGGCTCCGCACTGAGGGAAACGGAAGTGAGGGTGGGGTGGCAGCCAAGCCCAGGGCTGGTTGGGATAAACACCCCGTGGGAACATCACCCCAGGAACTGGACATGATTGACAGCTGGGGAACCCGGAATGGGGGGGAGGGAACTAATGGTCTGTAACATCACATATCTGGCGCTCCCAGCCCCCCTCTACACACAGCAGCCTGCAAATGTGCTGCGGGGCGGGTTAGAGCCAGCTCCCCGCGAAGGGAGAGCAGCTGAGTGCTGTAACTAAAGGGGTCTGGGCGGCATCCGGCGCGAAGGGGCCCTGGTCTTGGCTGGGGTCTGGGCAGCGGGCAGCGCCCTGCACGACGGGGCCCTGGTCTCGGTTGGGGTCTGGGCGGCGCCCGGCGCGACGGGGCCCTGGTCTCAGTTGGGGTCTGGGCGGCGCCCGGCGCGACGGGGCCCTGATCTCGGGTGGGGTCTGGGCGGCGCCCGGCGCGACGGGGCCCTGGTCTCGGGTGGGGTCTGGGCGGCGCCCGGCGCGACGGGGCCCTGGTCTTGGCTGGGGTCTGGGCGGCGCCCGGCGCGATGGGGCCCTGGTCTCGGGTGGGGTCTGGGCAGCGCCCGGCGCGACGGGGCCCTGGTCTGGGTCGCGGTCTCCTGGCCGTAGTTCTCAGTTCGGCTGCATTGCACCCTCCCCAGGGCAGGACCGAGGGTTTCCTGGCTTTGCACCCCGCTGGGATCTTTGCTTTCAAAGCAGCCGAGGCGAACCCAGCCCCACAGCGCCCATCTCCCCATCACAAACCAGCATCAGCCATCACCCGCCCCTGGCGATGCAGCGGACCAGCTAACGGGCCTGGTTCCCCACGCAGCCCCCAGCCTGACCGCCCCCCACGGACAGCGGGAGCCCAGGGGCGCGGTTCCCTTCTAAGGGCACCTGGGCCCCAAACCCCGACGGGGGGGGGAATGCGGGGCTGAGCCCCTGGGCGTTACAGGGTCCAGCTGTCTGGGGCCCTAAGGGGAAATAGCCGCGGGTGGGCGGGCACAAGGGGGGATCCCAGCTCACTCCCCCCCCGGCTGAGCCCAGCAGATGGGGGCAGCCCCACCCCAG